GTTCCTTTCGTCTTCTTCGAGACTCTGTTTCGTAATGCTGGCGAATGCGTGTTCTCCAGATTCGGTCATGAGCGGACTGTTAGGAGGGGAAGCAAGGGGTCTAACCGCGTGGCCCAACCCGGCTTCCTCAAGGTACTTGCGACGTACCATGAAGCGTTCGCTGCGCTCCTTACGCATAGCCGCAGAGTCGAGCTTGCTGATGGCTGTCCTGACCAACAGGCGCACCAACAGGAAGGTGTGCTCCGAGACGAAGACGCTGAGCAGTAGTGCCCACAACTTGATGGCATGGGGTCTACCATCTGGCCCTTGCCCATCACCACCTGAGAACATGTACACCAGCGCCGCGGAGGTGATGCTGCCGAGCCAGGCGAGGAATTCGAGACTATCGAGCCAGGGTCCAATGGAATCAGCTCGGGCAGGATTGGGTCGTCGGCATTCAACCGTCAGTTTGAAGGTGTCACCCCTCAACTCGATCCAGTTGTTGATAAAATATGAAACCGGTGTGAGAGGCCATATGACACTGAAGAGCGAGAGGTAGCCAAATTGTATGCACATCTCACGCAGGTCTGAGGTCACATCGTATTCTGGTAGAGCAGCCTCTTCGCGGACTCGAGTTAGGAATTCCTTCTCCTCGGGTGGGTCATGGTCAGCGACTGAGGGTGTAGTCCCACCGTGCTTTTCTGCACGCTGGGATTTGATTTCTTTAAATTTCTTGGTCCCTCTTTGTGTGAGGACTGGCATGACTGTTTCCATGGCGAAATTGACGACTTGGGCCGTTACTGCGAAATAGATCATCTGGTTACGGAGACGGTTGGGGTTGATGCTGAAGGCCGCAGGAGATGATGTCTCAAGTTGCTTTTCGTTCTCGGCGAATGCCTTAACTGTCAACCCAAAGATATCCAGATAAGGTACCAAGATGGAAGCAAAAGGGACGTATACGAAGGAAGTTAAGAAGATTGCCGTATACGAGGTGATGAAGTTGATGACGAAAACCTTGGAAATCATAGCCCTATCATGAGCGTCTTGAGTTTCATAGTTTTCGTAGAAAGTGAGCCTTTCGGCAAATCCAGTGAGGTAGTTGCTGATGGTGGGGACTGCAAGGGTGAGGAGAATGGTGGGAAGGAAGACGAGAATGGACTTCAGAGGGCCGTCGTAGACTTCGGAGATGAAGATTTCGATGGCGTAGCAGATGCATATAACAGCTCCGAGTACAACCACGCATAAAGCTGCCAGCGGGATTTGGAGGAGTTGTCTCTGGAGTCGCTTCTTTGCTGGGAAGTATGCGACTTTCTCGCCCGTGACGGGATCCGTGGTAACTTTCTCCGGTTCAAACTCTCTCCTTTTATCCTCGATCAATGACACTCGCTTGACGTTCCATCGAATAGCCAGCTCTCGTTCTTGACGTTTCCAGTATTCGATGAATACGACACACCACAGGCCATTGACAATTGCATAGATAGGGGAGTAATTGCCCAGGAGGACCCAGCATGAGAAGCCGAAGGCAGCAGGAAAGATCATGAAGGAGAAATAGGATTGCAGGAATGCATAATAGTAGCCAATCTACTCTCGTCAGTAAACACACAAACATAGAGGAGAATCGTTAAAGAGACGGACCTTTTCGCCAACAGTGTTCCTGATTTCGTCCAGGTCACCTGGTGTCAGAAATGTCTTCCGGGTAAACTCAGTCAGCCATGCCTTGTTTTTGACGTGGTCATGTAAGGGAAACACAGCTTCCACATTCTTCCATTCGCCGTGTTTTGGTGTGATACCAGCTCCTCCTTCTTCCCGTGGGCAGCATATCATGTGGTGAATATGTCGATGTCGCTCGGCGACAGTTAGAGGCTCTGAGGTCAGAGTTTGTGCAGGGTCATTGCTGGGCTGAAGTTGTCGCACTCCGTGTAGCCAGTCTTTTATCCTTGATCGGTAAACTACGTCTGCAAATATCTTCTCATCGGCGGCTCTGACAAAGACTAGCAAGGATGTTTCATCGCCTCGTCGCACTTCGGTGGTCAACCCGATTTCGGCGAGAGCTCGAATGAGTTTCTTGAACTGGGTAATGCCCGCTTCCCTGTCTGAAGGACGTCAGTATCAGGATCCATTGAAGAGGGTAGAATTAGTACCATCTTGCGGCATTCGGTAGCTAATGACATAGTCGACATCAAAGTTGGTCTGTAACACCTTAGAAGCCATGTTGGCAGCGAGACCGGAAGGGGTGGAAGGTGGACGTGAGAGAGGAGAGGAAGGGCTTTGTCCCGACGGACAGCCTTCGATGAAATAATCCCTTATCAAACAGCTGCCCTAGTAGAAGAGCGAACAGACGAAAGTTGGAAACCTAGTGGTGTAGCCAGCCGCATGAAATGAGCTTTGGTCGTCGGTTGAGACGCGACGTCATCAATTTAGCAGATCTGGTGAGCTAGCATTGGCGAGACTATGCCTAATATAGCTAGTTTATGATTACATCAGCATCCTCGTCAACCGACCAATCACCTAGCAACCATTTTCGTTAGTCCCATTTAAGCAAAGAGTCGAAATTGAGCCTCGGCATCAGAACGAGGTAGTCACCAGGAATCTCGCTGTTTGGTCACCCTTTACCGGGCGGAGTGTCAGACGGTGCGCCTATCCACGGCCTGGAAAGAGGTAAGGCAATTCAGTGCTTGTCTTATTATATCCACCCATATCCATCTTGAACCCTGACGCATTCTTCATCTTTCTCTTCTGGAAGGGCGAGCTGCATGACCGTCGAACGGTGTTCATAAGCAATCATGGCGAACAAGGTCGAGGGCGCGACATGGAACCAGTCATACACAGAACCTGACCCAAACAACTATTCTGCGTACCAACGAGAGATCTACAGCTCTCTACGGGCTCCCTCTTTCTCTACCAAGCCGTCTGAATGGGAATCCCTGGCCCGCTCCAAAGTCCCTGCTGCTAATTTTGGCTATGTGTATGGAGCCGCGAGCAGCGGCCAGACTCATGCGGCCAACATTGCCGCATTCGATCGCTATCGCATTCGACCTCATATGCTAGTCAATGCTACTCGCCGAGACCTGAACGTTGAGCTGTTCGGGACGAAGTATAGTAGTCCTCTTCTTCTAGCTCCAGTCGGGGTCCAGAATATCATGCATGAAGACGCTGAAGAGGCTACCGCCAAGGCTTGTCAAAAAGTCGGCATACCCATGATTCTCTCCTCGGCCGCCACGAGAACCATCGAACAAGTGGCCAGAGCCAATGGGACCGGTGACCGTTGGTATCAGCTTTATTGGCCCAGACCTCAGTGGGAAGAAGTCACTGTGAGCTTGCTAAACAGAGCAAAAGCCAATGGATATAAGGTCCTCGTCGTTACGTTGGACACTTTCAACCTGGCTTGGAGACCAACAGATCTTGATACAGCATACCTACCTTTCATCTGGGGCGACGGCTGCCAGATAGGACACTCTGATCCGGTCTTTAACCGCAGATATGAAGAAATCCAGAAGAATGATACGAGAGGGTATGGAGAAAAGTTAGCCGAACTCTGGGCAATGATGAAGAGACCCGGCTCCGTTTACGGCGCGGCTCGGATCCTGACAAACGTATCCCTACTCCAAAAGTCAAGGGCTTGGCTGGACGTCTTGAATTCCGGGACATATAGGGAATGGAAGCACTTGGAGATTTTGAAGAAGCTATGGGACGGGCCAATTGTTCTCAAAGGCATTCAGACAGTCGACGACGCTCACAGAGCAATAGACTATGGAATGGATGGCATCATTGTGAGCAATCACGGAGGTCGACAATGTGATGGTGCTATCGCTTCCCTCGATGCGCTGGCCGAGATTGCCGCTGACGAAAGAGTCAAACGATCCAACATGACCCTGATATTTGACAGTGGTATTCGTACAGGGGCAGATATCTTGAAAGCATTAGCATTGGGTGCAAAGGCGGTGTGCATTGGCAGGCCTTTCATGTATGGTCTTGCTATCGGAGGACAAGAAGGGGTAGAGCATGTCCTCAGGTGCTTACTGGCTGACACTGATAACATGCTGGGCAATATGGGCAAGAAGAGTGTGAAAGAGCTCAGCCGGCATGACCTACAGCTGCGGCCAGAATCAAAGCTCTAGACAGATTTTACCGAAAAGGCGGGATTGCAGCGAGTGGTAAAACAGACTGCTTTGCAAGAGATTGTGCTCGACGTGCTCCTCCGAGAGCATTTTAGAAGCGAATAAAAAAAATACAGGACCAGATACAAGATCACGGCTGAGAACATTATCCCCAAACTGCAGGGCAGCGGGGGGAGAGCCGTGTAGGATTATGATATAACCCGTGGTGTATCGTTGTCCCTGAGAAGACGCAGCCTCGCCAGCTTCATGTGTGGGGGGGGGGGGGCCAAAACAAGCAGCACAAGTCTTTCTAGGACGGAACTTGCCGTTGAACCAACATGCATCTACCGATACGTGCCGGGGACGAACAGATATACCACGCACTCACGCTTTGTGACAGGACAGGATTAGACGAAGCGCTACTGTCAATATGGGGCCCCAACGGACAACAGCTGGGGGAAGTTTACGTGAAGCCACCGCCAAACCAATGGTATCATTCTACAGATGCATAAGTTGCGCCCGACAGCAGCTCGGCGGCCAGCCTAACCCGTCTATGAAAGAGAGTCTGCAATGACAGCAGACCAAGTTGGCCTTCATGTCCGCCGCCCTCCATCTAGTGCAGAACCCCAGCACTCTCTTTCAGCCTCATCCCACGCAGTGTTAGGCAATCCCCGTGTCTCTTACAATTCGTGGAGAGGTTTGCGGCTGCTGGGTGCGTGGCTACGTTCCATTGGCAAACATGTGTCTGGGTGAAGGCTAAGCTGGTGCTGTTTGTCAATCCAGCAATACATAACTGCGATGGTCTCCTCCATCCTCATCGGGAATTCCTTGCTTTCTGCTATTGTGGATTCTAGGAGAATCCAGCCTGATGCCAATATACACTGGATGCAAGAACTACTGCCCCCATACGCCCGCTAACGCGACATGAGCAAGCCTAGACGTATCTCTAATCAAAATAAACAAGGCTGGGCCGAGGATGGCGATGGCCAAAAGAGTAAAGCAGACGTCTTTGTCGATTCGACTGCACTTGTCACCGATCCACAAATTATACGCATATTCTCAGTCTTGCAATCAAAGTCCCCAAAGCTGGTCAAGGCATGGCTCTGGGTTCTTGCGTTGGCGATATTCTGTGCCTGGCTAGCCTCTTTCACTTACGCCGTGTTCATCAGTGCAAATCCAGTCCCGCGTTTCTACGATTTTTCGCCCAGTATCACAGTCCGTGTGGTCAACACTGCTTCTCACGCTGCAGTATACTTGGCTGGGTGTATGGTAGAAGCGGTATTTGACGCTGTCTGCTGGGCGGTGATTTCTGGTAGAAGAGGAGCTTCACTCACGACTTTTCTCGCCACGAAGAAAGATACGGGAATTGGAACTGTGGCGTCACTGTTCTTGACGTATGGAGGACACCAGCTATGGTGCATTCTGAGGTATTTCATGGCATATATCGACTCACACAAAGCTTTGAATACCCTGACGTTTTCGGGCAGGCTCACTCTCATGGTCAGTGGTCGGCTCATAGGCTTGCCACTTCTCAGTAAGTCACCCCGCTTTCTAAGTTGCATGTTTTGTATGAAGCTGACAGATAGTTCTCTGCAGGCGGCTTATCCTACAAAGACGTCTATTATCCCAGCCAAGTGGTCTCTGTCGTCGGAGGGATCGCTCCTCTCCACGATTCAGTCGTCGCATTAGAAAAGGCCAGTTATGGTGGCTCGCAACCCACTTTCCAAGAAGCAAGCATAAACACAATGCTCATAAGCTCGACCAACAGCATCCTCACCGACCCCAAGTTTGTTACCAGCGTTGCTCCGATATCTCCGAACTGCCGGGGGCCGGACTGCAAATCTTTGTTCCTGCCTGGAGGCTTGGAACTGGTCCTCAGAGCGGATGGGACGACTCTGTTTGACGGGAAAGAACCGGATGACCCTGTCATCATTGTCCACGATGCTCCAGGTTACCAGATAGAGTTCTTGCCACAGGGCTTTACGTTCAATACCGCTGTCGACTGTCAAGTCTATGGCCTGCCCGTCTCTGCCCTTTATGCATGTGTGGCAGGTCGTAACAACACAATATTTAGCGGTGAGTCAAAAAGAGATGATTTAGCCTTCAGGATCTTTAACACTCTGATGATGCGGTAGGGTTCACAATCTGTCCTTTCGACTTGATGAGTAGCGGCGCTTGTCAATCGGACTTATCATGGACAAAAGATCTCCAAGCGTCTGTCGCCATGATCATCTACCAGCGAACGTCGACCGTCGCATACGACCGGTCCAACTTTTCGATCCTGAGTGTCGAATCCTTGGGGCCTGCGAAGGTGACCAGTGACGAAGACTCGGTCGCCGACTTACAAAAGCTTTTCTCCATCATGTACCCTCAGTTGACGACCATCCTCGAGGACATTGAGACGTCGGTTGTCAAGTTTGACTCGTCACAGGCGTGGACGGACCTCGCCTATTTGGCCTCTGTGTACTGCCTCCAGGCTGAAATCACCGCGGCCGAGCTGTTCCTCAATCACGGCTATCCCAGCTGGACCAACGGCCATAGGGACATCTTGGAAGGATTCCTGGCCATCCCGGTCCAGTTCGGAACTCTTCTGCTGCAGGAGATTGACAAGACAGTTCTCCTCACTGGCGGCATGACCACGACGGCATCATTCGCCCGAGTCTCTTTCCGTGTGAGATCGGAACCCTGGGCCCTCGTCATGTTTACGTCCGTCGTATCCGGCCTTGTTATGTGTGCCGTCTTGCCCCTGCTGTACGCTCACTGGGCGGCAGTACGGCGCAATGCTGGACCCGAGCTCTCCCCAACCCTTCGCGCCGCCTTTGCAAACGGGAACCCGTTCGACGCGTCGCCCCCGGACATGTGGCCATCCCTGACCAGCTGCCTGTTCGGCCGCTGCCGTCACAATCGCGGAAAATACTCCACCGCCCTTCAAAGCCCAACGCCGGGCGGTGGGAATAATACTCACGTGGTTGCGCGGAGGGTCGCTGACGAGGTCCTAATCGCCGTCGACCGAGACCAAGATAAGCTGGATCACGGGAGTAAAACTACTGTGCCGGGCTGGGAGAAAGGCGGCTTTGGTTCCTGGCCTGTTGGTTCACCGCCTTGAAAAGGAGGTGGGGCCGTGGGCTACATATTATATTCGCTATACGTCTTTTTTTTTTGTCTGAGCCTTGCTGGTATTTACTACCATTTTTTTTCCTAGCTCAAACACTATGATAGCTTCAGGGAGGCACTGATGTAGGCGAGTTGCTGTCGGACCAGGCAGCCCGGGAATGCTTTCTGCCATCCAAGTATTGAGTACCTAAATGTTCTCGTAGAGATTGCTCCTCGCATGGATCCCTCTTTGTTTTCACATGCACTAGCCCGGTATTTATATAGCTACAGCTACATCGTATTCCCGACGATGTGCTTGCAGGTTACGAAGCCTATACTCGATCTCCCTACCTGGTCCAGAAATCCCTAATTGGCCCCCCTATTCCCATTCCTAAGAGGAGACTTCACCGGGCCAGCTCCGTACATATATGCACGTACGAATCGGTGGAGCACTCCTCGTCCCATATATTCTATGGTCTTTATTGCTGCCAGTCTTCCCTGTCCAGAAGTGCAAGTTCCCAGTTCCGTTGAAACCAACAATTTTGCATCCTGCATGCGCGCCAAAGGCTGTTGTCTGTACAATGAGTCCCATTTCGCACAGCGATCCTGGCCGTTCAGATACGTTGATCTAAACGATGCGTTTTCTCGCACACGGCCTCAGACCAATCGACCCTTCTCACTGAACATACATCACAGGTTGAAAGCAGGCAACTGCTCGAGATCAATTAATAGTTAACTTCAATACGGGATCTTGTTTCCATGCTTTGTCTGTCACGCCACCCGAACAAGGGTATGGCCCACGAACGTATCGTATACAAGCGTACCTCGCACGCATTGGCTTGGCAAGATGCAAACAATGCGAGGCCTCGCAAAGTTGGGTTCGCACACAACGAGTGCGCTGATAGCTGCGTGGCATTACCTGCAATCCGCTGATGGTAACAGGTTTTCTCTTGCGGAACTGGCCACGGCGGGGTGAGCCTGACAAGAAGCAATGGACTACGTGTCCTCTTTCGGCGTTTTCCTCTGGACCATCATATACTGGGACGCGGGTAACCGCTATTTCGCTTTGGGGGGTTCAAAGCCAGCGTGCAGGGAAGAGAATGCTGCCGAACATCGCAATACATCTTCTCGCAAAAGTTGATCATCGCAATGCGTACTGATGGGATAGAACAACAGGGGAAGTAACGAGATGAGACTGCGTATAAACTCCGCAAGCATCAGGAAGAAGCCCCTGGGTCCCCTTGATTCTTCTAAGATTTTTCTTCTTCTTCGACTCTGCCTTGTATCTTCGCCCGCTGCTACAAACGGTGCAAGTTGGTCTTTCTCCAGGTGAAAGGATTTGGGGCGCTTTCCACAGTCGGTTGAAGTTGTTACCTCGTTGAAATTGCTCTCCTTCCTCCCCCGGGCGTTTGCGGAGATATCGAAGCACAAAACGGTTGTTGTGCTTGCTCAGTCGGCGGCAGGGTTCTGTGCCCACAACTATCCAGACCCACCGCATTGCCGAGCACGCACTCAGTCAGCTCTCTCTGAAATACGAGCTTCCCTGATTCCAAGGATGTAAGACTGCCGCCACATTTGCAGGACCACCTCGTAAAGCGGTACGTGACGGCTGCGGTGTTTCTTCGACTAACAGACTGCTCGGGAAGGACTTGAGGACTAATTCACACCTCGGCAGCGGATGTCCAATGTTCAACTTTGCTGAAAACACAAGCTGGCTCTCACAGACGGGCAGCTCTTCAATGTGATTACCATATTTGCACGACACATCTTCCACGATTAAACAGCTACTCCGCAAGCCAAATAATCCTGCCAAGACGGAGGACGCAAAGCGCCAACTAGAGCTAATGGAGTATCTCAACGCGGTAGGGGTTATTGCTGGTGACAGACTTCAAGGCGAGCCGGATCATGCCGGCAATGGAGCTAGACTCTGATGTGCTGATCAATCAAGTACTGTAGAGTCGGGCGTTGATATCGTGGAGATCAGAAAGTTTGCGGCTCAAACCTTCACAACGGATATCAGGGTTACAAGCCTCTGGTGTGCCAGATAACAGAAAAATGGCCTGCCGAAATATCTGGATCGAGTTGTAGTAGTACAAATCGACATTTTGGGATAGACTTCTAGCGTCGTATTCTATCTCTGAACAAATGATCAGGCTCGGTGGGCAATTTCCCATGGCAGTTTCTTAGTGGACTCGTTAACTGGAATTCTGGATATGGTCTCAACGCATCCTGTCTTTCTGTTTTATTGGATTCGAGCTGGTGCGCGGTCCTTCCGGGCTACGATGGAGGAGTGTACCCTGCATAGCACCACCAGAGGAGGGCCCTTGTGGGGAAAGGGGTGAATGCTGTTGGTGATACGGGCCCTGAGGACTGTCCGTTGCTGCATATTGATATTGCGGTTGGTGTTGGTGGTTGTATTGAAAGATATTGTAGGCCACATCGCTGGCTATTCTCGGGGTCGTGAAATAGTAAAGATATCTAACATTACTATTTGCAGGACCTGAAGGCCCAGAATGTGTTTGGAAGACGTAACGTGACCAGGGCGACTGATCTGGGTTTGGGGGTTGCGAAAAGTTTGGTTCTCCTATTGGCTTTAACAGGGGCATCTGTCCACCTGGCTGCACTTGCGGATCCGGTAGTAGTGAAGGGCACTCTAGATCTTGCAGGTCGACACCAGAGTCGGTTACAAGGCAGGGGTCTGCAAGAGGTCCTTGGAGCATAGCGTGAAACTCAGAACTTGCTTCATGTTGCGCTGGAGGTTGACGCAGGGTCGAGGGTTGACGAGATGCACTTTCGATTGCAGCGAAGCTTCCCTGCTGCGATTGAGTGCCTGATCCACCAGTGTTCAGGAATTGTCTGAGTGTCTGCCACAAACCAAACAATGTCACCGATCAAGTGGCCAGCTGCTTCTTGACCGATACGCGCTGTAATCAGACTCAGTGCTGATGGAGAACGCCGCAGTCTCTGCATCAGAAACGTATTGTATCGTGCGTCCGCAGCTTCCGCTTCGAAATAAGGTATAAGGTGAAGGAATTTCGGTGACTGGCGGGAAACAGGTCTTATAAACCTCCTCCCAATAAACCTTTTCGTTGTTGTTGGCCTTGTTTTTCTTCATCTTTTTGTCACGAAGTCTGGCTCTTTGATCGTCATCAAATCCATCTGCAAAATCTCGCTGTCGCTACTCGATCGGTACGAATGCACACGCCTCTAGAGCTCTGCGATGTTCTTGTGTCTCCTTATCACTTCCAAGTCTTGTGCCGCATCTGTCGCAGAGAAAGATATTGTGTTTCTGATGTAGATGCTGCTTGAGACGATTCAAGTCTGGCCAGCCATGGGTGCTACACGCCTTTTGCGATCCGTAGCGATGCGGAGCATATTTAAAGTAGGGACAAGCATATATTTGTCTCGGCTTCGTTTCCATCGACCTATCATTCTGAGAGGAAGATTTCGGCCTTTTATGCGGTGGACGACGCTCAAGGTTGTCATCGCCGTCATCACCCGGGGCCCGTCGGATGCCTGTTTTCTCTTCTCATTGAAAAAGAATCGTGGCGCATGCTCAATATCATACGGTCAAGCCACGAAGATCGATGCTGAGATAGAGCACCTTCGTGACCAAATGTCACTTCAGCCCCTGCCATGAGGAGTAGACTAATCGTGGAAAGATCGGGACTCAATATAGCATGGTGCAATGGGGTAAGATTGAAGCGGCCTGCGACTATCATTAATTTGCCATGAGCAGGAAGGCGAGAAGAGATGTCTGCTTTATCTTGAGATCATATTTGAGGTGAAGATGCTTGATTTGCCGGACACTTTGAGCCCACGTTTGCACCATACTTCAGTAATACCTGAACAATTCCTGCATTGCCTGCAGTACCTGCCAAGGAAACTGGAGTCGTTCCGCTTCGATGGTCATTCACGTCAGCGCCTACATCGAGGAGCAGTCTGATTATCAGCACATCTCCGGCTGCAACTGCCCACATCAATGGTGAATATCCGTATTTTGGGTCCACGAAGTGTAAATATGCATAATAATGGATGAGAAATTTTCAAATCTCCAGGTCCCCGGCTTCGCATGCAAGCGACAACGGTGTTCTGCCTTCCGAGTCGGTTTGATCAAGAAGCTGTTTCAGATTTGAATAGTTTTTGACAGTCTTAGCCCATGGTGATGCTGCCGCTTTGGGGTTCGCTTGGGATTCTCTTGGGATTCACCATGAGAATGATGACCTTTCAATGCAATTTTCAAGCTCTGTAGCCATACGCGGAGCAATCGTGACAAGTTGTAGTACGACGCAACATGCAAGAGAGACGATAATCGGTAAAGCTGCACTCCTTCCCCCACCAGTACCAAGGCTCGAGACCAGGAGAGAAGCAATTTCTCCGAAGGAAAGGGGAAGGATCGTGTCCAGAGCTCCCCAGAAGCTGCGCTGACATCTGTAATCTGTAGATGTTGAGCCAGAATGTTAAACAATGGTCCAAGAATGGGAAAGCAGTATTCAGGTTCTGTTCGCCAGTCTCCGTATGGCTGTAAGCCTCCCGAGACCAGCCACAGTACGCAAGACAGATGTGAGCAAAGTGCAAAATTTGGACGGCCCAGCTTCCGCCCCTAACTTGTAGTTCGAGTGTATAGTGAAACTCAGATATGATCAAAAAGTCCTGTACACTCGAGTGAACTAGATGAACCCGGAAGTGGTTCGCTGTCGGCCAAGCTTTGTAGATACGGCCATATTTGCTGCAAATAATTTTGACCAGCCCCAAAGTACACTTGGTACACACTAGTCAGATCAGTCGATAAGCTTCTGACAACATGTATAATGTCTGAACGGTCTTTAGTTTCATTGCAGACGATGTGTAGAGCCAGAGAAACCCATAAAAGATCCCAGCAGCCTTTTCAAGGATGATATTGAAAGCTTCATCTTTGAAGTGCGAGAATGAATTCCCGTTCTTTGCGTCGCTGATCTCGATTTGGGTCAGTGAAATTGACAATGTCCTCTTTGTTCTCTTGATCAACCAAAACCCTCAGGTCGTCCTCGCTGCAAGAGAATGTATTTCGCGAGGAGACGCAGATGCGTAAATGACTTGGTGGTGCTTGGCCGAGTGCTTGGCGTAGAAACTCTAGGATGCTCACATTCATCCAGTGCGTCAATAACAATATAGATTGGATAGTGTTGGCCTATGCCGGACAAAAGAAGGTTGAGCTGATCGACCAAAAGAGAGGGCTCGTTCACCCACTTTCCTCGTAACTGATTCGCGAAATGGAACGCAGCTGAATCCAGGATATCGTGCTCACAAGGGAGAAGTTTTGATTGATTCCAAAGTTGATGCAACAAAGCGCGGTAAAACTCAGGAACTGATCGTCCGGTCCCGTCTGTGAAAGGGTCAAAGGAGTATGAAACTGCGATGACCGGGGCTTTATCGGCGTCCGGACAATTCCCATGATCTAGAATATGTTTCATCAGTGTCGACTTCCCGGAGCCTGCTTTTCCATTGATCCAGAGGATCCCTCTGTGTCCCTTTTGGACCCATTGTTCGACGACCGAATTCTTGCAAAGCCAAGAGAAGGTAGCGTTAGCTGGCGGAGCAATGCGTTGACGGCCATCTTCAACCCGAAAGAGTGCCCAAGGATCGGCAATGCATGAGCCATTTTGTTTGGAACATACTCATTGGAAGCTGTTACCAGTATCATCGTTTCCGGGTGATTTTGCGCGGTGAAGATAGAAAGGGAATGTCAGACTTTTGACTGCTCCAAGGACACGATGGTAATTGACGGGGTTCGTAGAGAGAGACTCCTATATGCTCTTTTGGACATCCATTAGACATTCCAACCAGCCTGGGAAGCGAGTACATACCAGGTGATTACCGTGTATCGGAGTACTATTGAAACCTTGCCAAATAGTGTCCTCTTTCATGACGATATTAGCCATGTGGGAATCAGGGAGACTCGAACTATTAGGTTCGAGATCAGGAGTGTCCACTTCTTCAAAGAAAGAAATCAAATTGATACGCGAGGTATTTGGGTTGAGACAATCCCAGAAGTTTGCCGTGATTGACTGAGCAGGTGACAGGATATCGTAAAGCCGTTTTTCTAGAGTACGAAAGTCCGCGTCCCTGTCACAGAGCTTGAGAAACTTCCAGATGGCTCAATCGGCGCGCTCGTTGACACAATGGGGAGTACCGATGAAGACTATGCCTTTCGCATGCTGGGCGAAGTTGCGGACTTGTACATCGCGGGAAGCTAGATCATCCGCACGTGTTTGTGAGCAGATCAATGCCTGTTTGACAATGAGACCTCCTGGGCTATGGGCGATGAAGACCAGCGGGCGGTCAAGCTGTAGATAGAATTAGCCATCGATCCCAGGAGAAAAGAAGAGTTGAAACTAAAAGAGGGGCAAGTGCTTGTGGACCCCGGTAGGCGTTGGACCAGGCCAATGTAGACAGTTCTCATTTTTTGGCAGGGGGAAAAGAATATTTTCCGTTTTCACACCATTAGCAGTCGCCGACGGAAATCGTACGGGATAGAGGAAGTTTTTGCCTGAGCCCGCGAGCAGGGTAGGTCCAAAAGTATGAACGACGAAAACTTGTACCACAACAATGGAAAGGTACTGACAGTATTGTCGGCACTTTGTGGTTGGTAAATAGCTTCCAGTAGGTAATGGCCCTGCTTCTCAATTGGATCACTGCGCCTGAGGGCGAAGTCGTAACCGAAGGTGGAAAGCCTGTCGCCAGGCAGATCGCGAGGAAGCAACAGTGATAACCACGAGGAAGCCTGGGCGCTCAATCCATGAACAGCAACTATGTCAACGACTGCCTCCATGGGATCTGGTGCATGTAGCATGTTTAGTTTGGGTTCCGCCGACATGATGAAGGAATTCCCACGCACAAATGTTCGAATTGCCAGAATATCAAAGTCGAAAAATTAGGCAAGGATGGCAAGAAGTAATATCTGATTTAGCAAAAAGTACCCCCGACAGTGGACACCAAAGAGACCCAAACTTTGGACACAGACCACGAAGAATGGAAGGAAAAATGCAAGGAGGACTAATGTATTACAGGTGCTAACTGTGATATCGCCAACAGGCGGCGACTTGCATCCGCGGCACAAGGCGAGCTCCAAGTATTGCGAGCTCTGGCATTGAGAGCCAACACATTGTTTTGCCGTGCAATTGTGAGGTATGCATGGGGCTCTAGAGAGGTCCGTCCGGCTGCGAAGCAGGGCGTTTCTAGGATCCAAGGACCTAGCGAACATCGTGTAAGCACCACCCAGTCATCGTCGATGGTGGCGCACAGCTCGTGTTCTTGATGGCGCATGACATTGCCTGGCGGCCACATTTGTCATTAAAGGAAAGCACCCTGCTCGACTCCAGGGATTCGCATGGAGCTGCCCTTGAGGGCTGACAAGCGTGGAAGATATGGACTCCAGAATCTGCCTGACGAGGCGTCGAGCTTTGAATTTTTAAGGTGCGCTGTGGCCGGTACGAGTGAAAGGTCGAGTTGGCATCATCTAGTCCCTAGAACATATTGAATCATGGCAATATCGTGAGTGGCGACGCAGGAAGTACTAGAAGAAGGCAAAAGAAGAGGAGTAGACGGGGAAATGAAAAGATGATGTTGAAAGAATAATTTCGGTGGTGCGACGGGTTTGAGTCCAATTGCCAAGAAAGAAGCCTCACCAGCCAGGCTTCAGCCTCGTCACCGCATCATCTTCCTCTTTCCCTCAGTCTCAGCACACGATAATATGGACCCCATTCAAATTCCTTATTACTACGCCCACCCCGAGGATATACCTTCAAAACTCCCGACCAAGGACGCGACTGAGAACTTGGTCGGCCGAGCAGATCCAGCTGGATGGTGATTTCCGTCGGAATGCCTTCCTCAAACTCTCCCTAGGTTAAAGCTGTGGCGCCCATCAACCCGGGCTGCGAGTACGACGACTTCCAGCTCGACGTGAAGCAATAACGGGTGGAGGTGCTTCGCGAATCCTTGCTAACAATCACCACGATTCCTGAGTCTGACAAGCTCGCCAGCTTCACGAACATGAGCTTGCCCCTCAAGCCAGCAACTCTGGTGGTTTCAACGGTCATTAACTCACAGCAGGACGCGAGGCCCTCATTTACCCAGAATCTTTTCAGCCTCGCCATGCCGAAATAGCAGTGCAAGAAACGCTTGATAAGATGGACTCTACCCGGCCAGCCTGACGGAATGTGGTCTCACCCTTCTTGATTCTAACATTCTGCTCAGCACTGGCCATATTATAAGTCCTGACCCTGAAATATGATGCCAAGTGAAGCAGAACTAAATGTTGGAATTGTGGTCGGCATTGGGGCCTTAAATAATGACGAGGTTCGACCAAGATTGGACATTGATGTGATGATTGCCAGACATCCGGACGTGTTCAACCTCTTTCTTCTAGCTCTCATGGATCTGAAGGCAGATACCTCAAAACTTGGCTACTTTTCTCTCGCTGGTGCATCTCCGAGAATCTTTAGCAGTATTATGCCTCCGCTAATTTTTTCGCCTCGCAGGAATTCACGGACTTCCCACTGCTCTTTGGGATGGCGTTTGCAGGGATTTCCCGGATGGTACAGGTGGATACTGTGCACATGGCAGGCTTGTCTTCCCAACATGGCACAGGCCCTACTTGGCCCTTCTCGAGGTCTGACGGTCTTCATGTTTCTGACTGAATGGAGGGCCTGATTCCAGTCACAGCAAACCCTGTATCGAAAAATGATGGCTATCGTGAGAGAATTCGATAGATCATTCCAGTCCAAGTACCTGGCTGCGGCGAAAGCATTTCGACTTCCCTCCTAGGACTACTTTCGCCCCCGAGACGTCGACGCAAAGTTTCTAGGTATTAAGTTGGAAGGAAACCGCACAAGGCACGACTACGACTTTCGCATGCCAAACATTCTCAATGTGTGGGAAGTTATGGTCCGGCTGCCTCCTTACGACCAATTGGAAATCCGGAACAATCCCCTCTATAACTTCAAGTTCACCGACAGACAAAATTTGGACAAGGATTGGGCCAAGGCTAAACTGAGGGTAAGTGCCTCTTTGTTACAGCCCTCTGAGACTTCAATCAACACGGCATACAGAACTATAACCCGAATCGGACCGTACGACATCCAAGGGATAAGGACTCCAAGTATCACAATGTACAGGTATTGAGCGACGTTCTTAACAGTGGGCGTGAGGGTAGAGCCTCGATGATGCTCGACATTTTGAACCCTCATTCCACTCGGTACCCGCGGCTTGGGGATGTTGCCTCAAACTTAGTCCTGCGTGAGGGAGATTTGACAGACAGGACTTTCCAGGGGGGCGTCTAGCATATTGCCCAGAGAAGGAGGTGGTAGACCCGCGAGTTATGGCTCGATTGAAGCTCTGCACGGTAACTATCACAGCCTCGTTGGCGATGCTAATGGTCATATGTCGAGTCCCTCGATTGCGGCTTTCGATCCTGTTTCTTGGCTTCATCATTGGTAAGCCGGCCCGGTATGCAAGGGCCCTTTGCAAGCACTAAATGCATATTCACAGCAACGTCGACCGCATCTTCGCCATCTGGCAGGCTCTCCATCCAAAGGCCTCCATCCAAAGGCCTGGTTCCCGCCACCGGGAAGGGACTCAAGAGCCAAGCGCTTAAAGCCAGAGAATGAAAAGGACTTATTACCTTTCTACAAATTCATATTGAACTGGGGCGAGGCTACTAGCCATGGGTATCAACTCGTACGGCGGTGGGTATAGTCTCTTCCCAACACGCACACTTAACTAGGGGAAGTCCTCTCTGTTGGTAACTTGGTTGATTGTTCATTCTATGAAGGATAGTCCCCCAGGACTATATAAGAAGAACCATAGTCTAGGGTCGGCGCCCCAGCCAATCATAACGCTATCCACCACTTCAAACTTCTCCCATTACAATATGTGAGCTGGGCCCAATATACTACGATTCCGACTGGTCCAGGGATATAGAGAAGTTCGGCTACACATATCCCGACTTGGACCGCCTCAGCAACCCCAGATCGATCTGGAGCAGAGTGTACTACAAGTATATCTGGAGCATTCGGAGTGCTTCGAGCCGCAAATTCTCCACGCCAACTGCAGACACGATGGCACTCAACCTCAACCGGGCCCAGGTGTTCCAGTTCCCTGAAACGAATTCGAGGACTGCTGCTACTGAGTCTCTTCATCCTGTGACACGAATCGTTTTTCAAGCGAGTCGCGTCGTCCGCCCCAGACAGCCAAACAACAGAGCAGCTCGCCGCGCAAGACAGAGGCTTTATGCCTGCCCCCGACAATGAGATCGCCCCCCACTTTGACCGGGAGTGGTACATTGACAACGTTGTGAAATGGTTGCATCCCCTTCCCTTCACCTCCCCGGCCCCGTTCGCTCTAAACTCCTCTTGGCTTTCTTTCCAACCATGAAAACCCGAGTGCCCAACTAACATGCCATGTTCCTCAGGAACGCCTTCAACGGCCCCTTCACAATATACTTCTTCCTCTGCCCTAAATCAAGATTCCCCGACGACCCGGCCGAGTACGCGGTCAGTTCTTTCCTCGCCAGAATCAACCACGTCTTCGCCGCGCCGCGCGAAGTCTGCGACAACTGCGGCCAACCAGATGCCGCAGGGGTTTTGGCGTCCGACACAGTTCCGATTACGCCTTTGCAGCTCGACTACATGGTCAACGGAACGCTCGAGAGCATGCGGGCCGAGCATGTGTGCCCGTTCTTGGTGAAATACTTGCGCTGGAGGGTCGTCTCCGTAAGTCACCATCCCCTCTGCGCATTATCGCGTGGAAGGAAAGAAGTGTGAACTGGTTGTGTGCTGGGGTTGGGTGGATTTTCCTAGACTTGGTCAGCTGATCCTCGTCGACTTTTGCAGGCATGAAACTCGATAGCCGATCCGAGGCAACTACCGAATTCTGAGGTCTTGGTCAGTGCGAAGATCAGTTACGATGACGGGTCCACGACGTAGAGTCGTACCCTGATGTTGTCGAGGACATCATTTACAATGCCCGGTGATCCCCGACTTGCTTGGATGTGGCCTCCACGGAGTATTCTCCGAGGACTAAGTATTAGGCATTAGGAACCAGGTAGATTGTTTCGCGTTCATACGCCATCTTGGGGAGTAGCTCTTTTTCGTCGAGTATGAGTGGTTGGTTACCTGGGTAATCGTGCAATTATCAAGGTCGATGTATACCGAATCAAACGGAGGAGTTCATCGTGAAACCCTATGTTTGCTTCCTCACTATTCACCCATCACTGTACCCGTCGGTACCGAAGCTGTGCGGCGAGACACGAAAGAGAGTATATCGAGGCTGAGGCAGTGCATTAACGAACCATCTCAATGCACCTGCATTTCCCCCCTCTGTGCGATGCTGTCAGGCTGACTGAAGGCAATATCAACCGCATCTAACCAGCGAAGAACATCAAGCGCACAACCCCCTTGTCTCATTTTTGCCTGCTGTCTGTCCCGTTGCCAAATACCGCGGACACGACAGACCCAATCACTCGCTAACGGAAATCGTCGTGAGCACTGTTCAATTCGTGGGATGGCGATGGGTGATACAGATCGGTAGCCAAAATGGGGAAGACATCCTGAATTCACATGAAGCAAAATCTGCTGTGCAGATTAATGATCAGCTGACCGAGTGTGAATGGCCCGTATTGGACGAACAAGCGATTATCTGCTTTCGACGCCTCTACCTGGGCTCGTGTATCAGAGTCCCTCCGTAGAGGGGAGCCTATATGAAATTGATTGTGCTTGAATTGGGATGGTGTCGTATGAAGTGGATGCTGTAGACCCTGCTGTACTCTTCAAGGATGGACATGCCTCGTTTATTGTGCTATCGACAGGAATACTTCCAGCAGAGAAAACGTGGTGATTGATCGGCGACGCATCCACACATGACGTGCTTCATGTAGAGGCCTTTGAGAAGAAAGGGGCAAAGAAATGGGTTTTGTATGAGGGATGAATCCTACCAGTAGCACGCATAGACGGTGAACGCAGTAGTTTCACCTCAATAGCACTGCTTTTTGCCGGAGCTATTCAGTTTTGTCGTTGTCAGCTTGCGCATTGTGAGGGTCTCCCGAGGAATTGATATTTCTTTCCGAGGTGCGCTGAGGAAGGGATCCGAGGTCTTTGTCCATGTAAGTGATATATGGACACTGTCCTCCCCAGGATTCACACAGAGACAACCACATTTCTCACGGCAGCGACAAAGCCTTTGGTGTAATTCAGTAGGAGTGTATCATTCATGTCACGGAGGCTAGTCTCCGACTATTCAAAGGTGATCCGGTCCGTATCCCTCTTTGCGACATGGATGTGGCATTCGCCGTTGCCCTAGGGGTCTTCTCCTCTGATGTCGTAATAGCGACGGAAGATTGGGTAGCATTGTCCACCGACATACAGCACGATAGGAGCTGGACCTGCTCGCTTTCGGTTCACGTAGATACTTGGTTTGCGAAGTTCCGTGCCAGAACAAGATACTGCCTTTGACTGACTGTCTGAGTCGACGATAGTAAGTTGTAGCATAATTGCCCCGCTGGTAAACACTAGCATCTTAAAGTCTCTCTTCACGCGCCTCGGAAGACCTCAGTAAACAACCAGGGTAGATCCAATACATGCAAGGAGTCCGCAACACGTGAGGGTGCGGTCTCTTTGTGCGGTGCCTTGGACCGCCTCACAATCACCATTGATCTCTTTGATGCCCTTGTTTCGGACAAACCAAAGACAAAACACCATGAAGTTGACTGACCTCCAATAACAAAGTCCTTTGTGCCAGCTCTTGCTGTATATACCCGCAGTGCACACCAGCATACGTACACTAGACCATCTCCAAACTCACCATTCAGGATGGCGGGAGCCCGAGAGATACCAGCCATCGTCGTCACACCGCCTTCGGAGGATGGGCCGACATCGACTGTCAGCATACTGATGACGCGACACTGGGGGCTCTGGACCAGCGGAACCCTGCGAAAGCTAGACCGAACAAATGCAAAGGGGGAGAACTACTTGACCAGCGGCGACGATGACATCAAGCTGGTTGAGCTGTTGCCCAGGAATGACCCGCCTGCAGGTAAGTTGTCCATCGAATCAGTTGGTGGACATGTCGCTGAAGGGAAACACAGACCGATTGAAGCCCACGATAGACCTTTTGCAACGGCTCCTGTCAACAAAGGAATTCTCGAAAGGCACCGAGGCACCAAAGAGCGAGGACGAGATCAAATTAGAGAGGCTCCGCAAGAGCGATTCGTCAACAACAACGGTGACCACAGTTCAATCTCCGAATCAGACAGGCTGATATTTTGCAAGAAGCATACAGCAGTCCTAGAATCCATCAAGTTTCGAGGTGAGATGATGCACGCATTTGAGCAAGAATGTAAGAAGCCATGGTTCAATGTGGACGAGTTTGAAGATGACCTCCCACCGCTTCTTCCGCCTACAAGGCATATTCGAATAAAGGCAGAGGAGTTACTGAAGGAATTTGCCGAAAGCCCAATCGCAGATGTCAGAGATTTGCTTGAAGCAAGAAGACAACGCGAGACAAGTGTCTGTAAGGCGTGGTATGGGATACTGAAAACCCATGAACAACAATTTAGTCGCAGTCCGTTGTTTGAGCCTATCCTTGACCTGGTTACCGGAGAAGGCCTGGATGATTGGAAAGACGACAACTGTCAGGCGTGGGAGGAAATTATGGCTTAGGGATGATGGCGGTAGAGATTTGTGTCTCGAAAGAGCCCAGGAGAGGATTACAGACATTGGCAAGAGGAATTCCGTGGGTAAAGCCACAAAGATGGAAACAGGGAGGCTAATCGATGACTGGACCGCGTTGACCGTGACATTTGACTGGCACGTGACTATCACGTGATCTCAGGAACAGAGTCCAAGATTGCGTCATGGATTGGACGCGTCGAGTCGCGTCTCGCAGTATTTCTCTTGATTCTCTCCCTTTAACATCTACATAAATCTTTCTGTGTACAGGCGGCAAAAGATCCGAATGGCTCCCTCCGCGGTCGAAATGGGCAGTCAGTCTTCGCCTGGAGATTCTCTGGCCTTTCTCCGCGAGAATGTCAATGCCCTGAAAAACGCATCCAATGGATCCGCTACAGCTCCATCACCCGAACCCGTGGTCCAAACTGTCTCGACAACGACAATACCTCATGAAGAATATCAATACCTCGATCTAATCCGTGATATCCTGTCCCGTGGCGAACATCGACCAGACCGAACAGGTACAGGGACACTGTCGCTCTTCGCTCCCCCTCAGCTGCGCTTCAGCCTGTCACGGCCCGACCCTGCTTCGCCAACCGCCGAAAGAATACCCATCCTCCCTCTCCTCACCACTAAACGCGTCTTTCTTCGAGCCGTTACCACCGAGTTGCTGTGGTTTGTATCGGGCTGCACAACCTCGAAACCTCTGTCTGAAGCAGGTATCCACATTTGGGACGGCAATGGGTCGCGAGAATTCCTCGACAAATTGGGATTCGTCGATCGCGAGGACGGAGACCTTGGCCCTGTCTACGGATTTCAATGGCGCTATTTTGGTGCAGAATACAAGGACTGCCATACAGATTACACAGGCAAAGGAGTGGACCAGATCAAAGAGGTCGTGCGAAAATTGAAAACCAATCCATACGATAGACGAATTATACTGAGCGCGTGGAACGTAGCCGACCTGTCTAAGATGGCACTGCCGCCTTGTCACATGTTTGCGCAGTTTTATGTCAGTTACCCTGACGCAGCGCGAGGGGAGACGGCTGTCAGGCGGCTCAGCAACCAGTCAGTAGAGATCAGTGGAGACCAGCAGAAAGCAAAGGGTCACCTGTCTTGTGTCCTGTACCAGCGCTCCTGCGATATGGGACTCGGAGTGCCCTTCAACATCGCTTCATATGCGCTTCTTACACACATGCTGGCTCACGCGTGCGATCTTGTGCCGGGAGAGCTCATCCATACAATGGGCGATGCGCATGTATATCTCGATCATATTGACGCCTTAAGGGAGCAATTACTGCGTGAGCCACGTGAATTTCCAACTTTGAATATCAAGCGTGACGATAGGGGAAGCGGAGAAATGGACGGCTGGAAAGTCGAAGAGTTGGAGGTTGTTGGATATAAACCTCACGGCGGAATAAAGATGAAGATGAGTGTATGATTTCATTGAAATGGGAACGGAACTCTGGGTGTATTCAACAGGTATTGGGAACGAAAACCTTGAGAGACAAGTGGTAGGGATTGCGACGAATATTGGATGAATATTCCACGCTTCGTCTGGAAATCGAAGGAAATTGTTCTTTCTCTGAGCTTGTTACAATGTGTTGCTCATATGCTATAACCAACCCCAAGCAGGATCGCTCGAGTAATGCCACATCCCGGTGGGCGCCGCCGCTATGCAGTAAAAGGAACCTTTCTTTTCAAATCCGCTCAAATGCCAGATGCTGTGATTCACTTCCCGCCTTCCTTGGGACCAACCCCTCGCAGCAAGACAACGGTATTCCCGTTCGCAAGACACACTCCAAGCTTCTCCCCAAATTCCAACAACCTGCCACCTTCGACATGGTAGACTCTCAACCGCTGCTCCTCGGTCTCGACGCGATTGTTCATGTTGGCGACCTGCAGTCTCTTGGCGGCTTCATCGAGCATCCTGCCAACGGACCAGTCTGCCGAGAAGAACAGGTCGGCCTTGGGCAGTTTGGCGGTGGTGGAGGCGGCCTCGGCCTCGACGTGGAGGTAGACGCGCTTCTCGGGGGCGAGCTTGTCGTCGCCCTTTGCGTTCTTTTTCAGCGTGTTGAGCGCGGCGATTTGTGCGGATTTGCTGGAGGGGCTCGGTTTGGGCGTCAACGCCTCCTGTCGCTCCTTGCCCCAGGTCTTCAGCCGTCCGAAGCCGATCCGTAACTTCTCTTTATTTGATTGCATCGTGATCTCAATGGGGCGAGCACCCAGAGGGGTTAGGTTCTTGCAGTCGTGGTCTTCGCGCATGCGGTGTTTGAGGCAATATGTCCGGTTGCACTGCGGGCAGTGCACGCCCAGGTTTTGGGACGTGTTGACGAATGTCTTGCACGTCGTCTCTGCGCATTGTGTCGCGTTAATGAGATTCGGTTTACCCTGGCTTGTGCCCGATATTGAGGATTTCCCGATGCTGTTTAGCCGTCTGTTCTTCGCCCACTCACCAGCGCGGGGACACTTGTGGGCGGTCTCGCTCCGGTGGTCGAGACAGAAGGTGTGGCGGCATGACTCGCACCGGAAAGGGAGGAAGTCGAGCTGGTGGCAGTAGGCGAATTCGCAGTGGGCGCCGATGGCCTCGACGTCTCTATCCATGGCGGTGTATGATGCCTCGGGGGGAGTGGTTGAGGCAGACATTGTGGACGACCGACAACGAACGTTTATACGGCAAATACTATGAGTAATCTTGGCAATATGGTCCGTCGCCACTGCGGCAGGCGGAGGAAAGATTCGTCACTGACAAAGAATGAGGCTGATATGAGAGACGTTGAGGCTGGAAGATTCGGGATGCTGCGCAAGAATTCCCCGCGCCGAGGCTGAGTCCAGCCTTACCTCAGCCTTGCCTTCGCCTTTGTCAGCCTTGTGGCAAACCTACTTCACCGCGCTCTGTATCTTCGCACCTTGGCGACGGCGATCTCTTCACTATCACGTTGTCGCTAAGCGGATTCACCTCACGATAGAGCAATATATCATGGGGATCACGAAAAAACATATCTGACGATATTAGATGTTGAGAAGCGCAAAAACTTAACACAGAACAGTCAACCTCTGGTCTGTGACAAGTGAAACTCGCCCCTTTCGGGGTTGGTTTTTCTCGGCCGGTTATACTACAAGTTCTATACAGTTGAATCAATCGGTGCGAGAGTCGAATCGGGGTCCTGCTGCCTGCTAACCCGTTATTGTTAGTTCGTCCTGGCAAGACCCAGATTATGTCGTCGGCTCGGTTCGAATGGAGGCCCTGATGCTTCCTAGCCCGGTGTTCGACCTTACAGGGCCTGGACTGGGTGGAGGAATTGTGGTTCGCTCGGACTCGGTATCGCCCTAGTCGTGGAATGGGGTCTTTGTGTGACAGGAATTGAGCACAATAAAAATATAAAGGTAACAATTCTCTGGAAGTTTGGGTGGAACTGTTTAGACCAGACCCAGCGTGGTGCGCGAGGCTGAGAGATGTACATGTACACAGAGCACACCTTCCCCCACCCAACGCAGTGCAAATCAAGCAAAGGCCCATATGACAACTTCCAAGCCCGACTCGATGTCAGTCCCAAACTAACACACACTTAACGGTCGTCCCACTAAGCACATCATGGGCAGCCTTCGCTATATCGTTGGCGCGATACGTCTTGATTAACTGGTCATAAGGAAACTTCCCTTGCTGATTTGCCGCCAACAATCTCGGTAGGAACTCTTGAGGATAGCAGTCTCCCTGGTTGCAGCCAATGTAGCTGCAGCCTGCGTTCACTATCTCGAACATATTTAACGACGCTTCTGCCGAAAGCTAGGACGCACTGTCAGTTTGAAACATTGGTTTGCTGTGAGGTCATGGGAACATACATCGTCAATACCCACTGTTACCACTTTTCCTTTCCTTGCAGCACTGTGGACGAGTTCCTTGATCACTTCCGGCTTCCCTGTGGTGTCTATACTGCCATCCACTCCCCGCCCGCTTGTGATATCCATAAGGACTTTCATAAGCTCAGGCCGGACTCTGGAATTGACTCCATGAGTTGCGCCGAATGAGCGGGCCAGTTCCAGTCTCGCGGGAACGATATCTATGGCGATAATCTTTTTTGGTGGTGTTTCGAGCATCTTCAGTGCCATGATCGCTGACAATCCCACGGATCCGACACCTACAACAGCAACTGCCATGTCCGAAGCTGGTTCGACCACATTCAGCATTGCTGGTCATGTTAGTGGGAATAATGCAAAATGCCATTCGAGGAGAGTTACCTCCAGCACCCGTCATCACTCCACAACCGAGTGCAGCCACCTTCTCAAACGGCAAGTCTTTGTCAACTTTGACCAACCCATTTTGAGACACCAAGATATGTCTCGCAAAACTGCTCTGCCCAAAGAAATGACTCGTGATGGGTCTCCCGGTAGTCAAGCTAGAAAACACCTTCGACCCGTCCAGCCTTCCGACGGCCAGATTATACTGGAACCAGAGATCGCAATAAGACGATTGCTTTCGTAGACAGTACTTGCACTCTCCGCAACAGCTGAAGACGACAACGACGTGATCCCCTTTGGCGAATTTTGTCACGCTGGATCCCGTGCGCTCGACGACACCGGCACCCTCGTGGCCGAGGACAGCCGGAAACAGCTCGGGCATGGCCTTCTCCTTCGAGAAATTGAGGTCGGTGTGGCATACGCCGGTCGCCTTGATCCGAACGAGCACTTCATCTGCCCTGAGATTATCGTGGAGCTCGATCTGCTGGTACTGGAAGGCTGCTCCAGGTTTGGACACCACGATGGCGTCGGTGATCATCTCGACGGTCACACAATCGGCCTTGTGTCACTTCCTCCTGTCAGACGTCTGGGGTGAATCGGAGGGGACTAGGTGCCGCAGACGACGGCTGGCGAGCTCACGAATCCACTACTCCCCGTTGCGGCCGCACCTTGGTGGCCAAGTCATTGCATGTTGAAATCCTGCCCAATCAAGCGGCTTCAAGGATGCTTTCTGTTTTTCGTATTTGAACTTGCATCAAGTGCCTTTGGTCAAGTCCCTCCGATGGCGTGGGGCAAGAATGTCGGTGGTCTGAACAAACAATTAAGAGGTTCGCGCTTGTGGTGTGCGGGGCAGAAAATGCTTTCCGATCAGGTCTCGCCACTTTGAAGCGATACTGTAGAGATCTTGCAATCACAACCTAGCGACCTAAGAACGGACAGCCATTATTTCTACTCGCAAAGAAGATATAGTGAGCTCTACTGTAAGTCAAGGCCGCCTCTGATCAAGGAACAAATATTGCCACTGTGCAGTAGAGGAAGTAGTCGGACTGTATTATGCCACTTCTATTACTAGATTGAGCCACAGTGCAAGACCTTGAGCCAACGGTAACAATGCCAGATGGATTGCTGCATCTGACAGCTCAACGATGCTCTGAGTCGCGCTCATACCATGTCTTGACCTCTGACATTACCATGGAATCTCAACAAGCTCTAAGATGGCCCTTTTGGTCTCCCAGAAACTGGCATTCTTGTATTTGCCCTTTTCCGCTTGATCAGTTCGACTACTATATTTGTGCCTTGGAGTGGATCCCTGGTCCCCTCTGTAGCTATTGAATGCCGTATTGCAGTGTCCTGGTCCCACGAGCTGAAACTCGACACCTTTGTTGGCCGGATCTCGACTCATCTCGACGGTCGGCGTATTCAATGCCGCCTTGGAGAGACAACAAGGTATAGAGACGGTCGGCGGCAAGGATCCTCCAGATGAAAGACTGATTGAACCTCTGTCTGATGATACGCTGATGACCCGGCCACCATCGGCCGATTTGTGCAGAAGCGGGGGACAGTTGCATCACGAGAGCCACCGAGATGCCATTGGTGTTTATACCTCCGCATAAGTGTCTCGCCAGTCCGAGTAGTCGGATGCCACTGGGATGGCGCCATATCCGGTATTGTTGATCAAGACGTCGAGGTGACCGTATTGATGCTCGACAAGGCCGACAGCGTCTCTGATGGGTCTGTTCGAGTTGACGTCTGCCATGATTGGGGCGATCGTAGTGGAAACACCTTTGCCACTGAGTTCTTGGACAGCTGCTTTCCCTTTTTCGGGATCCCGACGGTCCGGGAGGAGCGTAGAAGTGGCCGTTTCTGGATGGCTTGCAAGAGCTTGGATTATTGCAAAGCAAATGCCCCTGTTGGCGCCCGTGTAAAGAATGACTCGCTCCCGGACAGCCATGGTTGTGGCCAAGAGGAAGTCGAAAACCCAGCTCTCATTTCTCTTCTCTTTGGCTTTTAAATGCTCACCTGGGGGTTGATATATATATGTGTACACAATTTTTCCAACGGCCTGGCGTCTTCCATGTATACAACTCCACGAATATAGCAAGATGGCATGTAGGAAGGTCGTGGCGACTTGTACGAAGAGCACTGTCTGACTCGCTGATCAGACTGACAAAGGGCCGGATATAGCTGCACAGCCATTGGTATTTCCGACATCTCGAACAAACACATGCAGCGAATGTGACCCAGTTGGAGGACATTGGAGAAGACAGGATTCGAAAAGGGGTCTGTAGAAGATGCTCGACCAACTCCTCGTACATATCTACCCCCTTTGAAGTTCCGATTGGTACCTGTTCTTGACCATCAACATGTCTTGGTTTATAGCCTTGATCGTGATCCCGCTCGCTGGTGCAAAGTGCTAAGAAGGCGATAGCTGATATTACTTCTGAGAGCCTCACTAGCCTCAGCGTGAACCTGGATTCGTTTGAAGGGGCCGCCTGGCAAGGGCTAGTGGGCGCAAGGGTCAAGGTGGCTGGCGGGCTTCCTTCACCGAGTCGGCGGCCCTGACGGTGCCGGGCCTACGGGCTCACCAGGCTAGTGCCTGATGCTGAGCCACTTCGCATACATGCACAAGATCGTAACCACCACCGAGAAGCGGTGCGACTGCGTTCCGACCATCAACTACCAGTCCGTCGCAGCCTTCCTCATCAGCATTAAGATGCGCGAAGAGGCCACCCGCTCCTTCACCTGTAAGGCGTTCCCGTATCTCGAGACTACGAGCGAGGCTAAGGTCTGGGGCTCTGAGAATGCTATCTAGTGCGCGCTCGAGACCACGCAGGCCGTTGGGGTCACGGCCTATGCCACAACGCAACCATACGGCTTGATGATAAACCAGTATCTGATCCCTATTCGAGGGGTCCACCACGCCCAGGAGAGCTATGGCCCGGGGTCGTGCGTGAGCGGTAGGGCGGAGGTGGGTTCCCCATGGGATTCTTGAATGTGTACACTTAAGAGGTGAATGGCTACGGAGCTAGCGAGGAAAAAAGGGGAACGGGGAAGGAGGAAAGAGTGGAAATGAAGCGAAAGAGACACTTATATAGTCTGGTGTCCTTTCAGACTGTTGAACCCAGCACGGAGGAGGAAGCTTTGTAGTAGGTAGTTTCCAAATGAGGTTTCGCAAAAGAAACTGGCTGGCTGGCTGGCTCGCCGTCTGGCTGAAAAAAATGATAAGACGATTCCCTCTCACCTTTCTAGCCTCCCAGGAGGCGGAGGTTCATAAGCTCGTTACTTAATGGCTTGGGCGGTCTAATTAGGCGTGGGACAATTTAATCTCAACCATGTCTGTTTTTATTTCGTTGTTCGCCTCAGGCTCAAGATCCACGCTGCACAAAGTCTGTCGATGTACGTAGCTCAACAATCCGTATGAAAAGTCTAGTAGGGGTTCATTTATATAGATCAAATCATAAATGGATTTTATACAACTTCGAGTTCCGCATAGCTGGAGGGTCTATCTGTACTCTGCATCTCTTAGTATTTCTATCGGCCCGAGGCCAATTAATCATGCTTTAACTTCCTCTGTCGAAGATGGCGATTTGCTCGGAGCGTCTGCATTTGGCGCGGGCTGCTCGTTGATGGACCTCCACTCTGCAGCAAAGGCTGCGATAAACGCAGCGCCGCTCACGGCAGTAGTGAAAAGCCATGCGTCTTTGAGACCGATCATGTACGAGGCAACAACGGCGGCGAGGTCTCGAGGGTTTGGGAACGCTTTTCGGAGTCCAGTAGCACCTGCAGTAAGCACGTGCGCAGGGGTGACGACCGAGTTGCCAACGGGGAGCGTCTCGATGAGGCGATTGTTGAGAATGGCTTGACCGGTCGACACCCCGAAGCCTCCGCCAACGAATTGGGCAACTGCCGTGATACACAGACACATTAGCCTTTCTGCAACGTGAAAGGCACCCGGAAGCAGACCAGGACTTACACATCACCATCCCCACAGTGACAGACAAATCTTGTCGCGCTGAGAGCCTCTGCGCAACCATAGCCGGAAGCTGAATGACGGCGCCCTGCCCGATCCCTGCGATGATTTGGTATCCAATCCATTTCCCGGCCGACGAGCCCGGATCCAATGTATAGTATAACCCAGATCCAATCGTGATCAAGACGCCACCAGCCCAAAGGAAAGGCTGATAGTATCCAACCTTTCCTAGCATGATGGAACAGCTGAGAGATGCCAGAGCTTTGGCAGACAACGTCAGTAAAATTGCTTTGAAAAAAGGATCTGACTATCTCATACAGAATGATAGCACGCTAGGAATTGTGCGCACACCACTATTCGATGGAGAGACGCCTTGGACAGCCTGAAAGTAAATGGGAAGGGTGTAGGTTCGGGAGACCCCACCCGTGTTGGACCTGTGTGGCACAAAATAGTCAGTCTCAACATATATATAACCAGGCTTCTTGAGCTTACAAAAAGCTGTAGATGGTGCATGCTGCAACAGTACGACTCTTCAAAAGTCGCTTCGAAATGATAGCAGTGTCGCCCTGTATCCACTCGGCGCCAACGAAGGCGATGACAAACAGCCAGAAACCAACGAGCAAGCCAATGGAGAAGCTGGAGTTCCAGACGTGCTCTACTCCTCCATCCTGCAGCACGAGCAGCAGGCAGATCCAGGCTCCTAGCCCCAGAACAATTCCCAAAGCATCGAACTCGCGAGGATATTGTCTCCATGGTGGAGCTTTGCCTGACCGGGAGTGTGCTGGTGTGCTGAAGAGAAAAAGGATGACGAGAAACGTTACGCCTCCAATAGGCAAGTTGATCCAGAAGCACCATCTCCATGTTAGATTTTGAGTGAACACTCCACCAAGCACAGGGCCCAAGACAGATACACAAGCCCAAATGGCGCCAAACAAACCCATAACCATGGATAAGCGCGAGGGCTGTACAATGAATGCGATGATGACATAGCATCCTGAGGTGAGGCCTGCGCCGCCGAGACCCTGAACTGCACGACCAGCAATAACGGCCGCGCTATTGGGAGCTAGAGCAGCCACAAGACTTCCAAGCTCGAAAGTGAAGATACAGGAAAGGAAGACATTCTTCTGCGGAAAGTATTTGTATGCCTTGCTCCAAAAGCCCTGAAACATGGCCAGGCACATGAGAAAGGCGGAGCCATACCATCCGACCTGGTCGACACTGTGAAAATCCTTTGTGATGGTCGGAATAGCGGTGGCGATGATGCTCTATTTTGGAGCATTATTGGTTAGCTTGCTACTACTAGCCAAGGGAAGACAGATGTCCACTTCGTACCACGTCGAGGGCAACAATGAATGTGGAGAGTATCAGCGCAATGACTAGTATTGCCTGTTTGAGAGGGTCTGGATACGAAGGCGCCGTTGGTGCCGTTGGTGCCGTTGGTGCCGTTGCGAGCGCTTTTGACGTTGTCTGTGATTGCGTTTCTGCTTCTGCAATGTCCGCAGTGGCTCCCTTGCACTCGGCGGTGCCATCGTTTTGAGACGACACACCGTCGGATAGGCTCTTCAGCGGATATTCTGTCAGGAGCCGCTCAGCCAGACACTCAACTAGAGAGGATCAGGAGATATCCTGAGTGCCGGATCGTACCTTCTGCCATAATGAATCAAACGGTCCTTCCACGATGATCAGCCGGAAACTCCAAAACGGACTCAAGACATGTCACATGTCATCTCTACCTAGCAGGGGGAGAAGGTCGCAATGATCAAGTGTTAGTGAAATGCCTTTGGTTGTTGAGTGTCTGTCTATCTGCTATCCGAAAGAAAGAAAGAAAAGAGAGGTTGTACCCTCTACTCGGTCCTCCCTCGCTCCGTAGCTTAAACAAAAATAAGCAAAGAGGGGCCGTGAGGCTACTCCTTGAATGGCTTAGGGGAGCGGTGGTGGCTTGGCAATATTGGAGGCTTGTTTAGCTCAAGCCCATGTGGGTCCGTAGTCTTGCCCTAATTGGGAAAGCATGCGTCCTCTTTCGGTGATCAGAAAAAGCCGTAATATTAGTACCTTGCACATGTACACTCCTTGGACATTGGCAACAGCACCTCATGCATGGTCGCTCGGCAATTTTAATGTGCGGCGCCAAACTGTCTGGAGCTGGCACAAATCGCCGAATTCATCATGTCCTGCATCGCCCTCCTCGTCTCCCCTAAGCAATCGTATCGAAACAACATCCTATTCACACAGGTCCGTGTAAAGTCGGGAAGTTCCTCCTCTGACAGATACTGTCTTACCATATCCTGTGTCTCTTTACTGAGATCGTACTCCACTGCGACTGTGCGACTCAAAAGCTGCACTGCACTAGCCCTTGGTCTCCGCAAGCGATCCCACAAATCTAGCCTTCGCGCCACCTCGCCCACACCATTGACTCCCTCCATAATCGCGCCTAGAGCTCCTGCGTCTTCAATCGCCATCCCCGCACCATTGCCCAAGGTCGGAAGCATTGGATGCGCAGCATCGCCGAGGACAATAAGGCGGTCCTTGTGGTACGTAGGCAGAGGGTCGCGGTCCGCAACTTTCCAGTGGTACATGTCGTCTTCATCACAGTAGTCGAGCATTTTGTGGAGAGATGGATGGAAGCTCTGGATGTGGTCGGAGGCAACTTGTTTTGCCGTCTGCGTGTTGCACTTCTGTTTGTTGGTGGGCAGGTTGTCGTCGGTGGCGGCGTAGAAGCCGAAGTTCTGGAGGAGATTGCTGTACTCGGTAAAGAGTGGCCACATTAGTAGAGGCTGCATTCTATTCAAGGTGAGTGATGTGACTTACTCCCGACATGGGTATCGCAGAATCAGCCGATCTCGTCTCGACCCCAAACTAACGGAGGTTCCATGAGGTGCAAGCTCCATAAACTCCCTCAATTCCTTGTCCTCCATGAGTGCCCTAGTTGGCACGCAAACCCGCACATTGCTTACTCCAGTCAGTGTTGCGGGCCTCTCTTCTCCATCTTTCATAATGGATCTGTGGGCTTTCGATTTCACACCATCCGCCGCAACTATGAAATCCCCCTTTAGCATTTCCCCATTATGCAGCGTAATCGAGCCCGCAGGGTCAAAATACACTGCTGAAACTCCCTCCATAATGTCCACCGGCACACCTGCTCCCTCTCTTCTGGTAGCCAGATCCCTTAGGCAGTTGTGCAGATCCACTCGATGCACAGTCATCCAGGGAGCCCCGTACTCCTTCTCGAGATTGGCTAATGATTTCCGCCATAGGACTTGAAATGGCTGCTCTGCTGGTAGTGCTTGGATGATTACCTCTTCGGTGCAGTACACCATACGAGCACTCTTAAAGTCGACGCCAAGGCTTCGTAGGACCATATTTGCATTGGGAGATAAACTTACGGCGAATCCGACTTCGCGCTTGCTGCTGCACCTTTCCAGGACGACGGCTTTGTGGCCAGCTTGGCGGAGTGCCAGTGCAGCAGCTAGGCCACCGATGCCTGCCCCGACGATGATCACGGTCAGTTGGAAAGACATCTGGGAAACTAGCCGAATGGTATAGAACAGGAAGACAGAGGTAAGATCTGGAAGCTAAGCCTATCTATATGCCAACTGATGACATAGGGATTCATTGGAAAATAAACAAGCCTTCTTTCAAGCCTGCCATTGTGATACCTGAGCATGACAATTATTAGACGAGAGAAACATTACAACTGTTTCTTGCCGGGCATCTCTAACGCTCCGGTGATATCAAGCAGGGCCGAAAGCACGGCGTCAGGCGATCGGTGATGGTCAAACTTCGGCGATTTCGGGGTTTGCAAACAGGTTGGCTACTGTCGGCTGCAAGTTCACCTAATTGTATAAGGTTAAACCAGCAACACTAATCGACAGCGATCTCCAGCGCATCGTTCTAGCATCGAAGATGTTTAATCTCTTGCTTCTAGCTTGTATTGCTGCAGGCGTGATCTGGTTTCTCGCAACACCTTTGCGGACAGGACTATGGCGCTTTCCGGGACCATGGTATCGACGGTATACAGGTAGCCAATATCACAATCCTGCTGTTGCCTTGGCCTATAAGATCTAACATTTTCGCTAGATCTATTTCAGGTGCTCGACACATACCATGAGCGAACACGTCTGGCTATCGCGGAACTGCACAGGGTGTACGGCCCTGTGGTCCAAATTGGTCCACGCACCCTTATTTTCTCCGACCCGGCCATGATTGACGAAGTGTATGGCACCAGGTCACCACTTCCCAAAGTATGTAATCCGCACAGCGTCTGAGCCCAGAAGTCATTATTGAGTCGAGGTAATGTCCCCTTAGAGCCATCACTTTAAGCCCCTGCGACATGAGCTCAATGGGGTTGTCTATCCGAATATCGTGGCAATGGAGACGACCAGAGAACATGCGGCTATTAAACGACCAATTGCGGGCATCTATTCCATGTCTAACGTCACGAAGTCGGAACGTTTCATCGACGAGTGCATCCTTCAGTTCGTCCACCAGCTCGACCAGGAGTTCTACAGCAAAGGGAAGACCATGCCCGTTTATCAATGGGCGCACTTTTGTGGGCAGAAGCATCTAATCGCTCTAATGATCGAACACTAACATGATTACACAGTTGCGTACGATACGATAATGAGGGTCACCGCATCCGTGGACTTCGGACTTATTCGAGGTGAAGCTGATCGAGAGGGCATGTTCAAGGGCCTACATGAAGCTCAAAAATTCCGAGCCATGGTGGGTTGCACATGGAGGAAAGCAATGCTTGCAGTTTGCTAACTGCGTTCAATGCAATCATGCAGGGCGTCTGCATGCCTTGGATGTACGCAATTCTCAAGAGGACCCCACTGGCCAGCATGATGGTCAAACGCATGGGGTCCTTCCCACGTCGAGCACGCGAACTCATCCAAAGCCGGAGGGCGATGGGGGTATCAACCACAAGGACCAGCGACCGTGAGGACCTCCTTGACCAGCTCCTCGAGACGAAGGAGAAGTTTCCACAGACCGTTGATGAGCTTGTCCTACACGGCTACGCCACGACACCCCTCTTCGCAGGTGGCGAATCGGTCGCTGCCATTATCACAGCCGTGGTCTACTTCGTGGGCAAGGATCCCTCCGTCGCCGCCAAACTGCATGCCGAACTGCAATCCTCTGGCCTCCAGATGCCCCCGTCCTGGGTCGAGATCCAGAAAATGCCCTATCTCGACGCAGTCATGCGCGAGACTTTTCGCTGTTCTCCCCTCGGTGCAGCGCTCTCCCGCCGCGCCATCCCACCCGATCGGGACTTCATCCTGCCCGACGGCCGCCGTGTGCCAACGGGCACCGCAGTCGCCATGTTAGGTGGGTCGACTCAATTCAACGAAGACATCTTCGGCGCGGACGCGCGACAGTTCCGGCCGGAACGCTGGCTCGTGATGCCCACCGAGAGCCCGGACGAGTATGCGGAGCGGTTGCGCTGGATGAACAAGACGGACTTGACTTGGGGCGCGGGTGACCGCGCCTGCATGGGCAAGAATATTGCGCGGTGTGAGATCTACAAGCTCGTAGCAACGCTGTATTCTACGTTCGACGTGAGTGGGGCATTTTTCTCCCCCCCCTTTTTGTTTCTCTATCTTTGCGCCCGAGGAACGGCAGGTCAGATTGGACTGACCATGTGAGTAGGTTCGACTTGTAGACCCAGCGAAGGAATGGAAGCTCAGGGAGGCTCTGGGGGTCAAGCCGGATGGTGTGGAGGCGATGCTTAGTCTTAGGTCGGGTGCGAGGTTCGATCACTTTGAAGAGGGGTATAAATACGGATGAGCTAGTCCAGGGCTGCCGTTCAAGTTGACACGGAGCACCGCACTCTCTCTCTCACTTTACCACACTTTAAGAGGCATATACTGAAGAAGACATTTAACATTGACGGTTAAAAGCACGACTACCGGGCTAACTTCACAACGCACTTCTCCCCCTTGAGATCCCCCCTCCTCACCATCTCCATCCCCACCAGCACCTGCTCCAATCCACCTTTCAGTAGCCTAACAGGGTGATGTTTCAAGCATCCCTCATCAAGCAACCGTTGCGCCACCGCCCACAACCTCTCCCCGTACTGTAGAAGCTCCTTGCTCGGTGGCCGTGCGTATGGTTCCGGCCACACGCATCCCTCCCCAAAAAGCGAAGGTCCTAAAGTCCAGTCCGTCTTGACAACTTTGCGCGTGGCGACACTCTGTTCGAAGGGATCAAGGGAGACGTATTTGCCTCCTGCCCGACCCAGGGCCGCAAAACAGAGGGCGGTTGATTCGACTGTTGTGATGCAATCGAGCGCGTAGCGGAGATTATTTCTGGTATAGGATTTCTGCGTAGATATGAGGCAAGGACTTGAAGGTGGCTACAGGACAGGGATAGATATCGTTCTACTTACTATCTGACCAGCGCAATCTGGTTCATGATAGTCAAAGGTTGCCTCGGCGCCATAAGATTTAAGCCGTTCGGTGTGCACGGGTGAGCAGGCTGTGATTGGTATCATGTTGACGCTGGGATCAATCAGTCAGCTCGCAAACTGCGTCGATATGGGGAGGGTCGTGGTATTTTTGCGTACAGTTTGAGCAGCTGTATGGCAATGGTCGCCGTTGCGGTACCGCCGCCGTACACGAGAACGTGCCCCGGCTTCTGCACGGGGGCATCTGGAAGCGGCAGCTCGAGAAGTTTCAGAGCTAGACCTGCCGTGCCGATGGCAGCGCTGTACGTGGCACCGCCTTCGGTGGTGATTGAATCAGGCAGCTTCATCCAGAAAGGGCCGGTGGGAATGTTGTACTCTCCAAACGCAGCACGAAATGGTCTCTTGGCGTTCATTTCGTACTGGGCGCCGCACACTCGGTCGCCAATCTCGACGCCGGTGACGGCGGATCCGCGAGCAACAACGGTGCCCGCGTAGTCGCAGCCGAGCATGGCACCTGGAGTGACGAAGTCACCGCGCATCTTGGTGTCGCTGGGATTAAGGGACAAGGCCTCGGTGCGGACCAGGAATTCATCGCTTCGCAGCGGAGCCAAAGGGGTATCTTCGCGAATGCATACGCGGTCTCCCGTCTCTGCAATTATTGCACGCTGAGTCGTTGGGGGTATGAAGCCAGTGTCAATAGCAATTGATCCCATTCTGGGCACTCAGCCAGAGATCAAGGATGGCGTTCGCGGGTCGTTGGCACTGAAAAAGCGACTTCTCAAGGAGCGAGGGGTCTGAATGCCGCTTGGATCAGTATGAGGTGAAATGCACTTACACACTAGGTAATTTATTTCTGTAGTTACCAGATCCCTTAGTACCACAGGATTGTGCTGACTCGAGCCGTGAGTGGTCAGCGAAGCAACCATCTATTGATGTGGGGCTGTGGACACCGCGTTGGGCCTAAAGCAGTCTTTCGGTGATTTTCGGCCTTCTTCGGACAAATTTGCTGCATCACCTTCAACCCACCTCGTAACAGAACGTGAGATATGGGATTTCAAGATTCCTGGGACAAAAGACCGCAGACGCCTTCGTGGTAGGGCATGGTAGGTACGAAGGAAACCAGACCGGAAAACCACAATGACTGTCAAAAAGGTTCCCAAAAAAGCGCTTCTATGCTTCCATGGCACCGGCTCCAAGGGATCCATTTTCAACGTCCAGATGGCGAGGATTTGCTACCAGCTGCGCGATACGTTCGAGTTCATATTCCTTGACGGCCCGCTGGAGTGCGGGCCGGGGCCTGGGGTGCTGCCTATGTTCAGCGGGCAGGAGCCGTACCGTGGCTGGTTTCACGGGCACGAAGTGAGCATTGACGACAGCATACGAGAGATCAACGGCGCGGTGCAGAGGGGTCTGGATGACTGGAGGAACAGTAATGCGGATGCTGATGTGGAGAACATTGTCGGCGCCGTAGGCTTCTCCGAAGGCGGGCTCGCGCTGACGCTGATGCTCTGGCTGCAGCAGGAGCAGCGGCAGCAGCAAGCGCAGGAACAAGAGCAAGAGCAGCAAGTCCTGCTCTCCGCCCTTCCACCGCTGCAGTTCGCCGCCATTAGCTGCTGCTTCTTTCCGCGCGAGGCGTCGTTGTGGATGAATGCGCGCGCTCAGGCCAGGGGCAAGAAAACAGCCCTTATCGACGTGCCAACATTGCACATCCACGGCAACCGCGACTTCTGTCTCGGGCGCGCACGCCAGCTGGTCCGTAACCACTACCAGCCGCAGTGCGCCACCATCGTCCCAGTCGACACCAGCCACCACCTTCCCAACCAGAAAGGTGACGTCGCCGAAGTTGTCAAGCACATCCGGAGACTGGCAGGAATAAAAGCAGCGTAGGATAGATAGATTTTCATCAGGCCAGCAAAGAGACTCCTCGAACGCTAGAGGTAGTTCCTGGAGTACGAAAACTGGGAGGACTTAGTGCTCTATATATGGGATCATACATTATTGCAGCCTCGCCGAATACCCAACAACTTGTTCAACTCCTTGCGATAGCACCGTGATCTAACGTTCCGTCCGTAACCCTTAGAACGGGATTCCTTGAAAAGGTGTTCAGGATCGACAGGTATGCCTGAATCACCGCCTCGGCGGCTCCTAACCCATACCGCTCCTTACGCAGCTTCACCGTAATCACCGGCTCCCCTTTGCTCGGATCATCCCCAATCTGCAATGTGATATCATACGGCGTCCCCGCTCGTGGGATATTAGTCTCGACCATCTTCGCCTCGCCGATGCTTCCGCTTTCCGTCTGGCCTTGCTTGTAGTCGAAGATGGCCTGGAAGAGTGGCGCATGGGAAGAGGGGTCATCGGCGCTTGGGCTAATGGGCAGACCGAGGCGGTCGAGAATGGAGGGCAAGGGGACGGCACTGTGGAGGAGGGCGGCGCGCATTTGCTCTTTAATGGCGCCAAGTGCTTCGTTGAAAGTATGGCCGGGGTCGTAGGGCAGGCGCACAGGGAGGTAGGAAGCGAAGAAGCCCATTGTGGCTTGATCGATGAGAGAGGCGCGACCAGCGTCGGCAACGCCAATTGCGATATCGGTGGAGGCAGTCAGCCGGGCGAGGAGGATGTAGAATGAGGTGAGGTAGAAGTGCATTGGAGTGGCTTGCCGTTTGCGGCTGCGGTCCTTGATGCGCACTGCCTCCATGCGGTTGAGCCTTGCAGTGGCTTCGTGCGAGGTCCAGTCGAGAGGTGTCGAGTTGGACAGGTTGGTGGAGGCGAGGGAGAGGACAGGTAGGCGGGGTGGCAGGGTTCGAAAAAGGTCGGACCAATAAGTGAGGTCGGCATCAAAGGCGCCCGATGTGAGCTGTGAACGCTGGCGGATCGCGTAGTCGACGTAGCTAGGGGCTGGTTCGAGCGGCAGGCCGCTATAGAGCTGGCTAACGTCGACAAAAAGGTGCTCGGTGGTCCAGCCGTCGCCAACGAGGCGATGGTAGGCAATGACCAGAAGGTGATCGGTGGGCGTCCAGAAGTAGTCGATGATCTTGAGCGTCTCCCCTTTTTCTAGATCGTACCTAACCTTTTGGAGGTCCTTGAATGCTTGGTCGGCAGCGTTCCTGTCTGCAACTCTGTAGGATTGAAAGGAGTTTCGGGGTAATCTCATGATTGCCTGCATAGGCCGCTCAAAGGAGGAGTCCGGATCAGAGATAAAACACGTACGAAATGCGTCACTGCGCCGCAGAGCCTGATCAAAAGCCGAGTTGAGGCGACTTAGATCGAGAGGGCCTTGCATGTATATGCCAATGGTGCTGTTGAAGGTGGTTGGATCCAGAGGAAGTTGCATCTGCTTCCACGTGTACTCTTGCATGATGGAAAGCGGTCCCACGTGCTGGAAACCGTCGTCGGCTTGAGAAGTTTGGGATAGCGGCGTTGGTATGTCGCCATTGTGTTCAGCAGAGAAAGTAGATCCGTCACTGGAAGACGTGCCGACGGTCTCTGACGGCGCGATTGGCGGTACGCTCTCGGCCATTTGCACCCCGTCCTCTCGAGATCCAGAATCAACCAGTGGAATCAAGTCGACACTCAGGCGAGAGACAGCATCGTCAACCAAGTCGGACACTGAGGCGCCGCCTAGAATCTTCAATAAAGGAACGTCGAGGTTGAGATTCTTGGCAAACCACGAGGCTACCGTCACCGCGCTGAGAGAGTCCACTCCCTGGTCAATCAAAGGAGCTGTCAGATTCAGCTCGTCGGTCGCAGCGAGCAGCAAGGCTCCACGAATTCTAATTGACACGCCTTCAAGGATGATGGTGCGGACCTGATCCAGAGTTTCGGCCTTTGTCAATTGATCTTTGAGGGATTCGACAGCTCCAGTGGCTGCGTTGCCAGCGGTATGACGATCAGACAACTTGAATGCGGCAAAGCGCGGGTCGTTATACCAAGGAATTCGATCTCGCTCTTTCTCATCCATGTGGACCATGCCAGTAACAAGTTCCACGTCGTCGATCTCCTGATTTCGGCCTGCCACAACGGCTTCCGCGAAGAGCGCATGGAGCTCCCACTCCTTGACCTCGTCGGCGAGGAACTTGCGGGTTTGGGATTCACTCTCACGCCCAGCACGGGAAATGAAGCCTACTCCAATGACAGCACCGATATCGATAGTCGATGCGGCCATGCCGCGAGCGCGTCTTTGCTTGGTTATCGCGTGGAGATACGCATTTGCAGCGCTGTATGCGGCTTGTCCCGGGTTCCCTACAACCATCACGATAGATGAGAACATGACGAAGAAGTCCAGCGGGTTTGCCGGATCAGAGAAACGCTCGTTTAACAGGCGAACCCCTGTTACCTTGGGTGCCAGGACCATCTCCATCATCCAGAGTTCCATGTTCTTGAACATGACGTCCTGGAGCAGGAGCGGCCCAAACGCCACTCCGACGATTGGAGGCATCGATGCACGCACCTCTGCCAGGCCTTTGTCGACTGACGCTTCGTTGGAGACATCCCTAGTTCCAGATAGTTAGCATCCTTCATAATAGTACACGACATGACGCCGACTTACATGGGAAGTACCATTACTCTGCCTCCAGAACGAGCGATATCGTCGATCCAACGTTGGTCAATCTTGGGGACACGACTGGACAGTACAAGATGGCGCGCGCCACGCTCAACCATAAATCGAGCGATCGAACGGCCCATGTCGCCAGCAAGGCCGACCAGCAAATACGTCTTGTCTCCAACAAATAGGTCATTCGTCTCAATGGGGCGGATGCGACTAGTGATAAGCTTGTCTGTTGCCCAATCGATCATTGCGTTGACCTCAAGAGCGCTCTTAGAAGACAAGATCTCATGGCCTGTGAGAACTGGCATACTGTCGATATCGCTGGATTTTCGCACGGTTTTAACAGCTTCAGCCAGTATCTGGGTCGCTGCTTGAGAGCCCAGTTCCGACATTGGTGTCGCGACATTCTGGAACAAGTGGTCTGGGCCACGGACTGAGCAGCCAGGTGGAAGACACCTGACAAGCCGACAGCTCAGACTTGCCGGATTCTGATCGGCAACCAAATCGTATAGCACGGAAGTCTTCGTGGGCAGTTTCTGGCGGAGGCTTCGCTCAGTCTCCCTATCGTGTAGACTAATCCACTGGATACCGCTCACTTTGGGCGCAGCCTTGGTGGAAGCAAACGTCAGTGAGATGCCGGCAGCCGCGGCTTGGTCGCGCAGACTCTCAACATAGAAGCTGGGAGGCTCAAAGACGAGCACCGCCGAACCTTGCACGAGGTCAGACATCAGAGTGAGGGCGACAATGTTCGCCGAGATGTCCAGGAGCGGCGACTTGGCCCACTCCTGTCTCCTTCCGACATGGATACATTGGCGAGAAGGTACTTGGACATGGGAAGCATTGCGGTCCGATAAAGCCATCACGATCGTATCCTCTGAACCGGCAACGTTGCCCTGAATCAGATAGTAGAACCCTAATCGGCCGATACGGAGAGCCTTTGCGAGCGAGTACTGCACATGGACCTTCACCGAGGTCTCGTCAGGGAACAAGGGGATAAACCGCTCTACATTGGCTCCGAAGAAAGGCTTTCCTTCATCGTATTCCAAGCTCAAATTCTCTTTTCGTGGGTCTAGGTCGACCAGGATGGGACGGCGGCCAGAATTTAGTCGGTTGTTCCTCTCTACATCACGTTTGAGACGCGATATCAGGACCTTGCCGCCAGATAAGTACAGCTCGGGCTCTTGAGTCCATAGAAGGTCGCCGTCCTCCCATTTCGCGCCATGTTCCAGACGCAGCACCGTCTCGATCAGGGAACGAGGCTCCAGGGTTCGAACGTTGTCAACATCCAGCAGTTGGATCTGAATGTCGGGATATTCATGACGCAATGTACGAAGTAGGCCGATTGACTGTGCTTGCTGGGGATTCTCATTCCAAGCGTTTTCAGTCACCCACAAGACATGGCGAGCAGCATTGAAGATGGTCTGTAAGGCATCGAACTTTTCGTTGTCCAATGCCGCAAAGGTATGCTCATCAAGCTCCGAGAGTACAATGAATGTTGACCCCGGGTGTAAGTCAAAGTCGATGATCTCTCGGAAGCTTGGGACGGTGTCAATTTTGCGTACCGGTAGAATGTCGGGGAGTCGAACAACGAGCTCAGCCGTCTTTGGCGAGGAACCTCCGACGATAACTAGTGGCCTATAAGAGTCCTCCAAAGGAGCAGTCAGGGGCGAATCCAGCTTCCTTATAAAGTCGTCTACGGCATGGGAAAGGAATACGCCGCTTGGGAAGGTTGTACTGTCTGGATCAAAAGAGCGGCTGTCAATGCCAGAGAACCCGGTTCTCTTCAGTAATTTGTCCCATTCATCGTAAGAAATGAAGGGCTCCAACACACGGCCTTCCTCATGACCGGACCACCAATCTGGGAACAGCCCAAAGATGAATCCGACACGAGTATGCTCGCGGTGCGCAATTTCAATGACAATCAATCGACCCCCAGGTTTCAGCAGCGACCGGACGTTTGCCATAGTCACTTCGAGGTTCGGTGTGGCGTGGAGCACATTGGACGCCGCGATCAAGTCATATGAGTTAGGCTTGAATCCCTGTTCGCTAGGGGGCAGGCGGATGTCGAGTGGTTGGAAATCCATCTTTGCTGCGTGTCGCTCAAACTCTTTGGCGGCGGGTTCGAAGAAGGTGCGGGAAATATCGGTGAAGGTGTAGCTGTTAAAAGAGAGTTGATCATGGTTCAAAAATAATCGTGTCGCTCCTGCTGTGCCCGCTCCTGTTGCAGTCGTCAATTGTCGTTGCGCTTGGAGGCGATGCGTTACACGTACCGACTTCAAGAACGTCCATGTTCGGGTAGCGGTGGGTGATTTGCTCGAGCATCCGTTGGTAATAGTAATAAGATTGGCCATAACTCACTTCCCCGCTGTAGAACTCCGTGAGCAGGCCGTCGTGGTCCAGGAGATCGAAGGCATTCTCATTGTTGCGGAATGTTTGCAAAGCACCTTCGCCAACTCTCTGGATGAGACGGATGAACGGTTGGCATATATTTCTAGATGTTTCATCAGTCAAAAATCTTTCTCTGTCGGCGAGAAACCTTACTTTCGGATCATTTCTTCGATATCGGCACGTGTATCTTTATCCCAATCTGGTGTGTACCATACGTTGCGACCGCCTTGGGTTTCACTGAGTACATGCTCACACCATTGGATATACTTTGCGAAGTGGAAGGGTGCTTTCTCACGATCCTCGGCGGTCACCCTGTCCAGGATAAATCTGATATACCAGTAGGTAACCCGCTCGATAACTGCAACGTCCTTCTTGTCCTGCTCTGTGGCATGTCTATCGACTTCGTTGAGCAACGGATCCGGATTCAGAGGACCCCAGCTCCATTTAGTGTACATGTCGTGATCGTCTGCAGCCGAGGGTGGGAAGGTGGGCTTAAAACCAATACCCTCGATGTGAAGCATCGTTGCCTTAGTCTCGGAGTCAAAGACCTCAATATCCCCTTGCATGTTTGTACCAACGCTTGACAAATTGGTGGAGATGAAGTCTACTTGACTAGACGAAGCGTTGATCCAATCAGCAATCCACGGGTTTAGAGCGATGCGACCGATTCTGGTAGGGACAAGCAGGGATCGTAGACGCCCATCACCAGGAGCTGCATATGCTCCAATCATGCTCTGAAAGGCAACATCGAGCGTGCTAGGATGGATGACCATGTTGCGGTGGCCGTCTTCCAGGCGGTGGAAGTTAATGGTGCCGTACGCCTTGCCGTCACCGCGTCTGAGGCTGGTGATTCCGCGGAACTGCTTGGTATAGTTGTACCCAGCCTCGTCGAGCATGTTGTAGAACCGGTCGATGCTAACATCATTGAGGTGGGCGGGTTCGTCCGAGGGTGCTGGCAGAGCCTCGCGCGTCGCTGACCCATACGTGATGGCGAGTGTGCCAGCGACTGAACGAGTGGGCCCAGTTTCTCTGGCGAGGCACGAGTTGATGGTGAAACTATACACGGCATATGCATCCATAGTCTGCGACGGGTCCACGTCAATGCTTAAGTTGAGCTCGACCATGCTGTTCTCATCTTCGAAGGTAACAGCCTTGTCGATTTTGACGTCCAGAGCTTCCAAGAGCTGAATGCTCCGCTCGCCGCTCAGCTTTACGGCAGCCTCCATAGCCATGACCACGTAGCCTGCCCCAGGGAACACAATCTGTCCCTGAAGTGAGTGGCCGTCGAGCCATTCAATATCCCGTGGACATATGAAATTTTGCCAGTGCGTCGACAAAGGAGTGCTGTGGGCAGAGCGCCTGCCGAGCAACAGATGAGGCCTTTCTGCATCAAGCAAGGCGCGAAGTGCGCGGGACTCCTTCCTGTAAGAGCGCGAGTGGTCCCAGGAATAGCTCGGAAGCTCCTTCGAGAGATCACGGACTTGTGCATTGATTGACAGGCTGCTATACAAGGTGTCAATATCAATAGCCGCTGAGCCGAAATGCAACCACATGTATCCTAAGCATGAAGCGAAGGCTTCGGTGTCGTCTTTCTTGCGCTCCATGCAGCCCACGTACGGGAGGTCAGACCCGATACAGTTTTGGATGGTCTGCAGGGTTGGATTCTTCAGTGCAGGGTGAGCGCCAACCTCGATGCAAATGTCAAGGGGCGTGTGTTTCAGGACTGCTAGCTCGACCGCTGGAGAAAAGAGGACCGGGGAGAGCAAGTTTTCTTTCCAGTACTCCGCGCTAAGGTCCTCGAGCCACATTATCTTCCCTTCGTGTACGGACGAGAGCCAAGTGCTTCGGGGCGCATTGCGCGAGGTGAACGTATCACACCCACAAGCTTTCAGAGCGGTAACGTACGGCTCTGCGCAAGGACGCATATGGTGTGAGTGGTAAGCCTTGTCAACTTTGAGGACTCGAGCAAACCGCGATTCGTCAATAAGAATATCGTATGCCTCGAGGATGGCATCCTTATCTCCAGAGAGCGTAACGGAGTCTGGACCATTGCTCGCAGCAACTGTTAGTCTATTTTCGAAAGCCTCAAGAGCGCACAAGTCGCTCGCGTCGTCGAAGGAGGTGCCCGCAGCCAACATGGCACCTTCTATACCATCTGGGCCACGCGCGTATTCTGCGGTAAAGCCGCGAAGGTATGCAATACGGATGGCTTGCGACGCCGATATGAAGCCGGCAGCGAAGGCACAAGCTATCTCCCCTGAACTGTGCCCGATGACAACCTTGAATGTCACCCCTGCCGCTTCAAGGAGCTTGATCAGCACGATTTGGACCGCACAACAAAGCGGCTGAGAAAAGGCAGCATCGTGCACATTAGAGTGTTCACCTTCCAGGAGAAGTTGATGCATGAGACTCCATCGAGGTCGGTATTCTGCTGGTAAGCTCTGAAGGCTGTAGTCAAGCTCTGAAACGATATTTCGAGCGTATGCAACTTCAGAAATGAGGATCTTCCCCATTGCTGGCCACTGAGCACCCTGTCCAGTAAAAATACCAAGAACTTGAGGTTTTCTCTTCACGTCCGATATCGTTGTGGCGGCTTGCTTTCCTGACACCAAAGGTGCATCGCGGTCGAGAGCCTCGCAGAGTGCTGGCACGGTTTTTGCTTGTATCGTATGGCGGACTTGGAGGGCAGACCGCTTATTCAGCAGTGTCCAGGCCAGATCGCACAGCCGAAGTTCCGGCTGGCTGGTTAGACATTGCTTGAGGTCCTCCAGGGAAGCTCTAAGTGAGGCAGTAGAGTGTGCGGAGAGCACGATCGGGGCGAGACAAGGCGTTGGTGCTGGATCCAGCGCTAATTTCGAGGCGGGAACGTATGACTCGAGAATTACATGGGCATTTGTTCCCCCAAAGCCGAACGAGTTGACGCTCACGCGTCGTGGTTGGTTGAACTTGAGCGCCGGCCAGGCCTGTTGTTCCGTGACGACTCGCAGATCTGAATAGAACGGGGCCACTCTCGGATTCAGCTCATTGAATAGCATGTTTGGGGGAAGAATGCCATGCTGTATGACCTGTGATGCTTTAATCAGGCCAGCGACCCCTGCAGTACCTTCGGTGTGGCCAATGATGGTCTTTATACTGCCCACGTAGAGTGGGTCTTCGTCAACAGCACGCTGTCTGTCGCCGAAGAAAGCAGACGAGATGGCACAGGCTTCCTGTGGATCTCCCGCTTGAGTCCCTGTTCCGTGGGCTTCGAAATATTGACACCTGTCCTCAGGTTTCGTAATATCGAGACCTGCTGTCTTGTAGACTTGCCGAATCAGCGCCTCTTGTGCCGCCGGACTCGGCATCGTTATGCCAGGAGTCTTGCCATCCTGATTGATGCCGGTTTCGCGTATTATACATTCGATAGTGTCACCATCTGCAATTGCCTGCGTCAGGGTCTTGAGAACGACAGCGGCAATGCCTTCACCTCTGGCGTAACCGTCCGCTGCGGCGTCCCACATCCGAGAACGGCCGGTGGGTGAGAACATGTTGAGCTTGCTTGCAGTGACAAAGGGGGTGGGGCCAAGAATTAGATTCGAGCCGGCTGCCACAGCGACCCGACTCGCTCCTGTTCGAAGCTGCTGAACAGCAAGGTGAACGGCAACGAGAGATGAGCTACAAGCAGTATCGATAGTCATACTAGGCCCATGCCAGCCAAACGCGTACGAGACCCTGTTGGAAAGAATAGATGCCGCGGCTCCGGTGGCGGCATATGTGCTCAATGCATCTATGTCATAGTTTGAGTTGTCAAGAAAATCGCGTTGCATCAATCCGACGTAGACGGCGGTAGGAGAGCCTCGAAGATCCTCCATCCTAAGCCCCGCCGATAGGAGGCTGTCAAAGACGGTCTCCAGAAGCAAGCGCTGTTGAGGATCGATTGTATCGGCTTCATTGGGGGAGATATTGAAGAAGCCTGGATCAAACGTATATGGATCTTCTTCGAGAAAGTATGCGTATTGTGCATTTGTTCGGCCATGATGATGCCCATCGGGATGGTAATAGCCGTCTATGTTGAATCTTTCTTTGGGAACTTTCTTCACCAAGTCTCTGGGGGATTTCAGAAGCTCCCAGAGACGAGAAGGGCTACTTGCACCGCCTGGAAAGCGACAACCACTGCCGATCAATGCGATGGGCTCCCCGCGTTGAGCTTCAGACAGACTCATGGCGGTTTGAGCACCATATATTTGGCGATGAATGCAGTCGTTCTGATGCTGAGCAAACGATCTTTCGGGGAGAAGATTCCTCGTACAGGTCCGCCAATCAACGATGAAATGATGTAGAGACGGCGGTCGTTCGAGAGAGGCGCGTTGTCTGTCAATTCATTTGGCTGAGCTTCTTGCCGGGTGGCGCGTCATGATGAAGAGAGAAGGCGTTTTGTACGCCTGGTATTCCTAACGCCGACTCTTCGGCCTCACTGGCGCACATGTCGTGCCGATATCTATTGCAACGCCATATTCCCGCAAGCGTAGAATGCACGCGTATTCCCGAAGGGAGTTGTGAAGGATCCAACAACCACGTCCTTTTATTGGGGTGACATTTTGGCAACATGGGCGACATCGGCTAGTGGCTTGGCTCTCAACCAGGATTAGCGGGGTATAGAGGGGGGCATCGGCGGTTCGTGCCGAGCTAGTGAACCCTAGTGATCCTTCATTTATTCGCGGGCCGTAGCCTGGAGGCCCTGCCAAGCCGCTAGCGTCGAATATATGGCTGTTCATGTGAGGATAGCGATTGTATGCAGACCCTGATAAACGCCCGAACAGCAAAGACTCCGAAGACAAAGTACAGGCGATTACGAAGCCGGTCTCATCCGAATGCAATTTTGATGCATTCTTTGCCCCACTGCGGCTGGGCGGCTGCTTGCTAATTTGAAGTCTCTCGGCGCCCCAATTACACCAGAGACTATGTTTTCCTTCAATATTTTACTACTCAATATATACCTAGATACGTAGATGAGGATGTAGCAGAAGCTACTGGTCTCTGGTCTGTTCCTCAGCCGGCTTTCGCGGAATTCTCATGGCATTGGGACCCAACCGCCGAGAATACGCAGCCGAACAGCTGGCGACGGGCGTCGAAGACGCCGGAGGAAGATCATGCAAGAGAGCCGTACAATATTGAATCGACGTTGATAACAAAGAGCAAAGGGACAGCCTCTCCAATGATTAGTCCAGACCCCGGCGGACAACACACCAGCTACACGCGGGCCGTCAAAAGCGGGATGCGCTATTCTCGTACTACAGCTGCGGACGGGAAAGATTGGCATCAACGCCTTCCTTCACAATCCAAGGGTGCTAGGATATGGCGAGCGACGCACATGGGATAACAGGATGCCACGTAGTACTTATCTGACAGAGGTGGAGTGCGGTTAGATAACAAATCAGTCTGCACGGGGATACACCTTGGATACTAACAACGTATTATAAAGCGGCAATGGCTATCAAATTCGGGCTAAAGACCGAACTACCAGAGCAGTTGCATCCTGTATGCGCGCGATGCTAAGATGACCACATCTAAGGTATAGGGGAAACGGAGATGGATACTTGGGAATGAGACGAGAGCAAGGGTAAAGGAATGGGGCCGGAGGGAGAAGAGAAGACAGAAGAGAAAGGAACGCAGTCTGCAACCGTAGATCCTTCCGTGAAGGTACTTACATTAGTAAGATGCTAGCTGCATACTGAGTGGTGGATAGAGATATAGCATACGAGCAGACTGTATAGACCAATGAAGTTCGGCTGATCGGCGGTGTTACTCAACCGACTCGGAGATCATTGGATGGCGGCAAGGGCTTGGGTTTCGTCAAATATGGCAAGGCTTGCGCTACCGCTGATGCAGGATATGCAGCGGGGAATCTTGCGAAGCGCATAAGGGCGAAGACACTTCTGCAAGCGGCTGTACGAGACTGCAGCTGCATATCATGGGAAAGCCGCCAATCAGATCTACTTGCGTAACCAGACAGATCACATTCGGCACCTTACAGGCAGCTTTTCAGGCCCGCCTGTGACGCATTGCAGTAGCAGAATACGTATGTCCTGAGATGTACTTTCGGCTTCTACGTCTGTTGATCAGCTTGTACTACTATGGAGATAGATATAAGTGTATCATGTGTATCGGCATTCTTACCTCCACGGCCTGCCGGCGTTTTCTCATCCTCTTCTGCTCCCTCGCTTTCGCCGACAACCGAATGTCGTCTCACCGTCACTCGGGCTATGTTGTCGGCAAGGACGGATCCTGGCACAGCAGAAATTGCCATCGTTCGACGCGCTGATGGCCGAACGCTGCGGAAGTCGTGCGACAGGTGCCATCAACAAAAGTTGCGATGCGTGGGAGACAAGGCCTCATTGACTCGATGCAAGCGGTGTCAAAGGGCTGGACTCGAGTGCGTGTACGGCGCGAGATCCAGCAAGAAGGCGACCCAATGCAGCATCGACAACTTTGCTACCTGGGATGGCTGGCCCGGGAATTCGGCGACTCCGACATTGAACGATCCGGTGGCTGAGCTGGACACAATTTTTGGTCTTGAATTGGCACATTTCGACGACATCTTTGCGATTTCTCCTTCATCTCGGCCCACCACAAGCGGGAGTACCTCATTAGCCGCCCCCAACTTGCCCACGTTTGAGCATGATGCCGGGACTCCCGTCCAATCTGCGGTAGGCATGCCCTTGCTGTCCTCGAGCGGCTCTACTGAAGCAGGCGATGAGCCCATGACCGAGTTCTCCAATTTGTCGGCGGAGCTTGCCAAGGCATTCCAGGAGTTGGAAGCAACATTCCTTAGGACCGTGGAGGGTCAGACGGGCCGAGCGCCTCAAGAATGTATGACGTCGGTTTCAAGTCCCCAAAATCGCTGTAGTGCTGACTCTAGTTTCCAGATCCTATCGGCGAAGTCTTGAGCGCCGTTGGAGGTTTCCTAAGAGTTCTAAAGCTTAACAATGTGGCGGGAGCAGGACCCCCTTGCGCACCTCAAAGTCCACACGATGCGCATCTGCGGAGCAAACAAGCGTCGATAGCCGCGCAAGGCTATGTGCTGTGTGTCAAACTTGTAGCGTCCCTGTCGGAGCAGATGCTCCAGGGTCTCTTGACATCGCCGTCGCCGACTGCTTCTGGTGGCTCAACCAGTCCTCAAAGCACACAAGGCGCCAGTAGTCTGAGAACCAGTCTGGAAGCATCAGATGGCAAATTTTCCGACGCGAGTCATGTTCCACACAGTCTTCGACTAGGAGATCTGTTCATGCCTCCAGGCCATTTCGGCCACGCACTGAATTCCAGCGTCAACCTCCTCCGCATTGGCTGCAGCCGACTCAATGAGATGGAACACTTACTTGGGATACCCTCTAAGCAACAAGGGCAAAGCATTTCGTCGCTGGTCTGCCAGGAGCAGATGGATTTCGCTCAGCAGGCACTCCCAGATAACGGTTCTCCAAGACCGTCGTTGCCAGCTCGCTTCGTCGCAGCAATGTGGGAGGACGAGGCAAGCGTTAAGAACAAGTCCGCTGTGGTGTACCTACAGCGCTGTCGTGCTGCAATCCTGGGCCTTACCGAGCATTGTGCTTGATATGTACCTCAGTAGTCTAGCAACGTCTTGATTAGCTCTTGTGACTACGGCTTCCGAGGTGTTCAAGACAGCCACTGAACTTGGCACGCCGGCCCGAGCCTTATCTCAGGCACCGCCAAGGCTGCGCTGGTGGTCTTGGCTGGCCCACAGATTGCACTGTCCATATTTGTGGAAATCCACAACCACACCCCGCACACCATGTGGCGTAGACGAATGTTGTTGATGGTTTGAGACGAGGAAAACTGACCGCAGAAGGAAACGGAGCCTCGAAACGACGTTGGCAATATCTAGGAAGGGCTGAGGTAAGGCGAAAGGGCATTGAATAGATGCTCTGCCATGGGCTTGCTCGTCCGGGGCGGCAGAATTAACGCCTTGTGGATATAGGAGGCTGATAGGCAGTGATGCAAGAGACAAGACCTCTATTTAGATAAAGAAGTTTAGAGCATTGTAGCCCGTGCTACCTGTAACTACGAGTACGAGTACGAGTATGCATCGCTCGACTAGAAGCAGTCACCTCTTCCGCCTTCAAAACCATCTCCCTACTTTGCTGCTTTAATTTCGTGCGTTAACGAAGAAACAGACATACATCGAAAAGGTTACAGCAGCATACAACACAGAATTACAGAAGTGCAAGATCGTGGCCATGAATGGAATTCGAAACGACAAATCACATCTATAAAACCGCTCTGACTAGAAATTTACACGATGACCTACCCTAGGTGCCGTATAGACCATTGGAGACACCCAAAGCCCCTCTGATAGGGTCTGTGCCGCGATATCAGCCACAAAGGTCCGGCTGGAACGCGAAGAGTCTACCATGCCCACAAGCTTCTCTGCCACAACTTCGTCCCGGCCGAGTTGTCTCCTTGAGTGTCGCCTGAGGAGCCAATTCCTGACCCAGATTGTGTATCTCAAAAAGACAAAGATGACGACGGTGACCACCGAGTAGCATACGACGTGCACCGCGACCTTCCACTTGCCCAGTTCTGGATCCAGCCATTCATGCACCCAAAACCCGTCTGTCGCACGCGTAAGATATGCCAGTCCAAGGTACAGCGACTGGATGGTCATGAGAAAAGGCAAGTGCGTCCAGGGAAATGGTTCGGTCGTGGGCAGGATGATCTCGAGCAAGGCCATGAATGTGTTCATTGCGTGGACGGAGATGTTGGCCCAGGCGTCAAACGTCACCTTGTACCACGGCCCGAAGTACATGGTGCACCAGAACGTGAGTGTGACTAGAATAAGAAAGCATGTCACCATGCTGTAGTACAGGCTATGCAAGATTTGCAGGGACGGTGGCAATCGGTTATGCAGCCAGCTCGTTCCCGTTTTCGTATAGAAGAAAGTATCCACCGCAGTGACAAAGAAATAGAAGCCCTGCCCATAGTATGAGAGGTATGTGAAATAGGAGAAAGACCGACCGATAGCGGAGGAGCCGATCGCTGTTGTATACGAAGGTTCATCAACGTCATGCAGGTGGTAGATGTCGATGTTGCCGGAGAACCAGGTGTAGGAGTAGATGATAGCAGCGAAGACGTAGAGACCAAGAAGCACGCGCAGGCAGCCGTGGAGGAGGGGGGGAAGAACCCAGGAGGAGACAAAGATGTTGTTCTTGTCCAAAGGGGTGGTGGAGGCTAGTAAACAATAGACACTGTTCTTTGACAGCGCCATATTGTAACCGAGATCAGAAACGAACAAGGTCTTTGCAGACGACTTGATCTTTACCTATAGTTATCCAAAGACTCAAGGGGCAACCCCGTTTATATCTTAAAGGCGATCGTCCCATGTGGCCCGTCTGTACAGCATCTAAACTTGTTCGTAAACGCGTGGAAAAGGGAATGCTGTACTTGCTTGGCCGTCGGGGTCGCAGATTTGGCCGCATATCAAAAATCACAGGTCTTGCCATCTGAATAGTCAGATTCTGACAGTATCTCATAGCACATTACGGTATTTTGACCCTGAGACCAAGCCATTGGACAGCCAGGCCCGGATAAGGACTTCAGCTACGCCTCTTGGATCTCTCAATTTTAGGGAGTTGGCCGAGCTGGTGGTTGCAGGTATAGTTCAGGCCATTGAACACCGTCTTAATATCTCAGCGATCAGGAGCCAAAGTGTTGTACCCAATGCTTCGGGGTAGCAAATGCGGCTTCGAGTGGCTGGCTCATTGCGGGAGTAAGTCAACATCGAGCCGGTGGAATTAAACTTTTGTGAACGGCGACGCCGAACACAGAGTTCTTTAGCAGTTATGCAAGGGAAGGACTGCAAACCTTGAATACGTCATTCACCGATTTCGTGAATTCGAGATTGCGATATGGGCTCGAAACCATATGGCGGGACGAGCCTCAATCCGCGTCAGACGTGAGGGCCCCAAAGCCCACTACCCTGGGGTACAACATAGAGCAGGGAGCAGCGAAATCTCTTGTTGGAGCCTCCCGACAGGAATGTGAGAATATGGTATGCCATAGCCAGGAAGATGATTGTGGAATCAACCAAAATTGGAGGCTTGCTGGCACTAAAGGCCCGTAAGCTCCGAGGTTGGCAATGAGATGAACCAAGATCGCGGGCTGGTGGCTAGTTGGGCTCGGCATCGCCTCAGCCTCAGACGTAATGTTAGACAGCCCGTCTTCACCGCTCAGAAGCGCTACTACAGCAATCACCCAATCAACTCTTGGAGACACCGATACATTCACCGGTCAGAGCGTCTTGGTAGGGGACCAGCCGGGCGGGCTCGGTGGCATTGATAGAGACACCGCCAGCAACACGCGCTGCAAAAGCTAACGTCTCATTATCTTTCATGGAAGGGGGAACGGGTTTACGAGGATTGAGAATGTCCAAAGCGTAAACAATGATAAAGAAGTACACATATATCGAATGACCCTTGTCGATATTTGATCCAGTGGAAGGACTCAGTCTTCGCGTGAAGCCAAGAGAAACCCTGGTGATAGAGCAAGACAAATAATTTTGCCGTCCATTCCGGTCGGTGGAGAGGCGCCACAAGGAACTCAATTGGCCCGTGATCGTAAATATTAAAGTACGGAAATTCAGGAGATCAACGGCGTCATTATACTCAACGTATGAGCTATGAATCAATCCATAAACCAAGACATAACAAGCAGAATGGTGGATTAATCCACCCATTCTGTTCCCAAAATGGTCTCGTTATGCATGTTAATATTCTCGTTGTGAATGATATGCATGAGCTGCTTTCGCGGGTTGCAGAGAAGTGGCCCTGCTTAACCAGAAACGTGGTCGCGCGAGATAGGCTGATCTCTTTGGTTGTTGGAGATGGTATGCTGCATACGGTATACGCTAGCACTGGGTAGATATTGATATACCCAGTCGATACTCGTCATGGTTCGAACAGCGACATGCCTGCCTACTTGTTAGGTGTGAGGCGGCGGCGTTTGAGTCCTCTTCTCATGATAACGTGTGCTCCAGGCCAATATACGGGGATTTGCCGGCGGGCGGGAGTAGATGAAGAGCGATGGTCTCGCACGTTGATAGCCATGGAAGTCCATGAGAACACTTTTCATTCTGTCGAAACACCTCGGTCTCCGCTCAACAACCGAGACAAGACACATTTATCAACGATGTGTTTTCCTCATGGTTTGATAGGGTGGCCAAGAACATGACGGGGAAAGCAAGTATCTGCATCAATGCTGACCCTGCGCACACGTGGGTGTCCACGTCAAGAGGTTTACCAGCAATGAACAATGAGTACCAATGGTATGGAATGAACATGAGGCATATTCTTTTCCGGACTGTGACCGGCCAGAAGTTATATTCACACTCTGCATCTCTGGGACATGACGGCTGACGAACCTACTTGGTTCAAGTATGCTCGACTAGCCTCTCGTTGTTGATCAGTAAATGCTAGTAGGCGATTGTTATTATTGGCAACACCGTCATCGAGCAGTCAGATACGGATGACAACAAGTACGTGTGAGGTAGAGGGTCGATCTGTCGCGTGCCATGGATTAAGCTCTTTGGGGAAATTGAAGGTTGTGTGGTTGTGGTATGCATCGTATTACCGAGTACTTGACGTTGGCAATGAATGGAATGGACAAGTTTTGACGGATTGAGATGGTGGTTGCGAATATTATTACCTTGTACGCGTCATGACTACCTAAACTTGCCGGTAGCTTGTAGCTAGCACCCCGCGCTTAGAAGCCCCTAGCAACGCTTAGCAATGCCAATTCGGTGCCTATCACGTCGCCTATCAACCTCGCAAGCCTGGGGCCACTAGGCAGCAACGGGCACCAATAGGCACCAATAGGCTATGGGCTAGCTACTTAGTGCAACTAGGAGAGGGCCCCGGCTTCGGCATCACAGCTGTTCCGGCCCCTCACGTGTCGCGCCTCGGTCGGTTTCCACCAACCCTGCAGCGCAGTTCCACTTCCACACCATCCACGATTCTCTCCTCCCCCCCTTAGGACCCAAACCCTCAGATGCTGACCAGCTCCAGGGAAAGTATCGTTGTGCGTGTCGCAACAGTCGCAAAGGTCTCGAACTCCTCATGCTGCCCCTGCATCAGACATCCAATAAAGCCGCCTGACCCTTGCGACGATACTCATGCAGGTAAACAGGGGATCAATTGACAGGCAGGATTCCGGACACTCTGCCTTACGACAAGCGATTTTTCTTTTTCCTCTATCAACCCGAGTGCATGTCCAGGCCCAAGGGTAACCGCCGGATATCACCATCACCTCGTATCCAAGCTGGATGGCTTGGTGCTGTGGCAGTCTGGCAGACGATATCCCACGCCAATTGACTGCGGCCTCCGACATCCTGGTTCGCCCCGAGGTACTCAGTGGATCACTCCACGCATCCCGGCGTTCCGATCACCTGCACCTTGGTGCTTGGACGATTGCGATCGCCTCCAAGTCCATTAAAAACGCAACTTCTGTGACAAGTTCTCAAACACGAAACTGTTGCGGTGCCCAGTCCTTCCAACACAGCCTCAATCGTGCTTCCAAATCATCCCCTGTCTCCTTCTCCTTCTTCCTCTACTGCGAGCCAACACCTATCCGCCCATAACCCGTACGCTGTGTCGATCCTTCGTTGCCGGATGTAAGCAGCATCGCCCGGCCGCTAACCTGTTCTTCTGAACTGCCTCGAGAGGGTGTCATGGCACAGACCCCAACCTTGAAACCTTGGACTCGATATAATACGCTCTGAGTCCAGTCTGCTCAGTCACAACCCCTCGCATCCTGATTCCTGTCCAACCTGTACGTACCTATCCGACCGAGCAGGCGTGTAATTGATCCGAAAGTGGGGTTTCTCTCGAGAGCGGGAAGAAGATTATTGATTTCGGACACAAAGAGTCGGGCGGTAACACCACACACGGCAGACATGAATGTCCCTCGGTCTCGTCAGAAATGGCTGGCCGTCTTCATCGCACTGATGTCGTTCTTGTGCTCGAGAGTGGCGGCCCAGACGATTGCGCCATCGAACAACTCACAAGATCTTCTTCCAATCTCGACCTCTCCAAGATTCACCTTGAATGGCACAGAATTCCCCAATCTTCCCTTGATAGAGATGGCGCCACTGGGTCCTTATGCTCAAATGTCGCATGAAGGCTTTGTCCAAGTCAGGGTAGAAGGACATCTGGTCAATATCGATGCGTCCAACGCCAACGAAATCGCCGACGTGGATCAGTTTTCCTATGTTTCATGTGATCCAGAGGATTATCCAGACAATTTGTCCGCAAGCGAAGTCTTCCGCATTGTGGTAAACTCACCTCGAGCAAGCATTGTCATCCTTTATAGCGAGACCAGTGACCATTGCGTTGCCACAGGCCTGAACACGCTGCCGACCATTGGTGGAATTTTAACAACCACCAACAGCGCGACGGCGTCCAGTTTGGCGGGCTTGAGTCTGACTCAAGCGAGTCCTGGGGTAGCCACAATCCTCCCAGACCTGACCTCTTACACCAATTCCTCTGCCCCTGGCTTCAATGGAAATGGTAGTATCGGGCAATCGCCGACGACCGCGGTTGCCATGATCATTTTGTACTCCATTACTGGCATCATCACCGCGCTATTCGTCGTCATTATCGTTACTGGAGCCATCCGGGCGCACAGACATCCCGAAAGGTACGGGCCTCGAAACATCGCGGGAAGAGGCAGACAGAGTCGCGCAAAAGGCATTGCGCGTGCCATGCTTGAAACCCTCCCAATTGTCAAATTCGGCGATCATCAAGACATCGCCGCTACGAAACCAGCTGAAGGGTCAGACATCGAGATGAATGCCGGAAACGCCACGGCGCCCCATCATGACAATTCAGAGTCGACGAACAAAGCTGTGGCAGGTGATGTCGTCACTTCAGAGTCTGGCAGCGACCGAGCACCGGCGATCATCGCCACCAGTAACCCCGACGGCACTGATGCCGAGGGTCATTTGGGCTGCTCGATATGCACCGAAGATTTCAAGAAGGGAGAGGAAGTGCGTGTGTTGCCTTGTAACCACAAATTCCATCCTGATTGCATTGACCCATGGCTTCTAAACGTTAGCGGGACCTGTCCGCTGTGTCGAATCGACCTGAGACCACAGGCGCAGGAAATGGAAGGGGAGGAACGGAGAGGTTCTACCGCCACAGCGGACCATGATGGCCCATTCCCACCACCGCTAGCTCCTCCTGGGACCGCCGACGCCAACGGTAGCCCACACAGAGGTGGGCGAAGAGAAACGGTGGCCAATCTCCGTCATCTCGCTTCGGGGTCTCGAGATGAGCGCATCGCGGCCTTGAGGCGGTTGCGACAGGAAACCCTTCGATCGAATCGTCCGACAAACGACGAGGAGCGATCCGGCCTAGCAAGGAGATTCCGAGAAAGATTCCGAATTCACACGGAGAGACGTGGGGCGACGACGGAATGAACAGTTGCGAATGTTGGTTGCGGGCTTCACCAGCCTGTGACCACACCTCCATCTTTGAGATGGCGTGGGACGCCGCATGAATTTTGTGGTCGGGAATGATTAAAAAGTTTGGTCTCTTTGGGTGCACTTGACGCAGTGACGCGATGAACATGACTTTTTGGTCTTATGCAAAGAGGAGGGTAGGAATACCAGGGGGTCACGAACGGCGGATACCGCGTTCAGCCGAGTGCTCGATTTCGTGAGCGATTTTGTCTCAGGCTTGTCCATCTAGGAAGGGTTCCCTCGGGGGTTGTGGACTCGCATATATTTGCAGGCTGTACAATGTTTCGTGGATGCACATTCCGGAGTACATTGATCAGAGTCATGATTGGGACTGTCTCTGGGTAACCTGGTAAGGTAGTCCTAGGGCGTTTGTTGGTGTACGATTGACTATCGACTTGTCGACCATATGGTACGGATCTTACGGAGCACCAGATATTTGGAAGATACCGATATATGTATTCAGAATGGAAAGCATCTCTGCGCCCACCGTGACTGATGGGTCATCTTTGCCCCTTGGGCAATTGTCGCACTATGCCCTATACTATGCTCGTAACCCCGTAGACCTACATTTTGCGGACTCCTAACGGGGCGGCCCAAGCGTCCCAGTCCGGACGGAGTTAATATGCCTCACGTAGAGCGATCCTAACACCAATTAGCAGCGGACGAAGAACTTCTTAGGAAATGGTTACAAGATCGCCATCTCGATATTGTGTAGCCAGCCAGCTCATCAAAGGGGAGGTGGAGGGTACGGGGCCCCGTGCCTCCCTCCCATCCACGTACAGAGGTTTACCTTCCTATAGGGGAAGCAAGCATGCGGATGCAACTTTTGTCCCTGTCCTGGTACGAATTTCTTTTTTTTCCCTTTCGCGTTGCTTTTTGACATTGGCTGTGTTTCATGATCTGTGTCTGTCATGGTCTCCCACCAGCGTGTCTACACCACTACTCATACCGCGTGTGATCTCGTCCGTGATATCCCTCGCAGCGGACCATCCCCTGGATGCTCTGGCAGAATCCCGCATCCGCTCCCTATCCATGTCCCGCTCAGACCGGTCATAGTGACCCTCGCCTTCAGCACCGCCACCGGGACCACTGCCCGAGAACCACCCACTTACGCCGGCGGGAATCCAGCCTCCGCCGCCGCCTTCACTGCCGCTAGCACGCCGACGATCATAAGCTTCCGCCGGCGTGTTCGAAACCCCGGTGGCTTCGTCGTAGTCGACATTTTCGAACGACTGCTCACTCCGTGACTTTGTCTTTAGTCCACCACCCATTGCCAATCCGGATCCGGAGCTCGACGGCCGCTTACTATGCCCACCGTTACCCCCACGTCCACTATTCTCGCCTGGAGCAGCGCCGTAGGCAAGGTCCAAGTTCTGCTGCTCGCTATCTAGCATCCTCACCAGCCCCAATAGCCTATCACGTTGTGCGGTGATGAAAGAGGATTTCTCAGCCGTCGACTGGCCCGGGATGTTCTCGAACTGAAAGAGGTTTGGGGGAATGGAGATTGAGGCGGCTTCGGTAGCCGCAGAGCGGTATGTTCCTTGCGGGGAGGTGGACGTAGAAGCCAAGCCTGCAGCGAAGTTCGATACCATACTGTACACTCCTGCAGAAGTTGTGCCTGGTTGAGTAGGGGTATTCGTCCTTGCCCCGGGCATGGCGAAGCGGGAAAGGAGGTCTGATGCGTAGCTTGCGTAACCTCCCACGCCTGCCGCTTGTTGCCGACCCGCTGGCTGTTGTGGACTCTTCTGCCCCAGAATCCTCTCTCGCGCCCATTCAATCGCGATATTCAGATATCCCAACCCCATCTGTTGTAGTTTGTCGTGCGTCTCGCCAATGAACTGATCAATCTGCCTCTCATGGTGGACGATGTACGGTTCCAAATAGTCCAGATAGAATATCTTGGCACCCTGGGTCTGAGGAAGGACGAGGTAGAGAAGGAAGATGAGGCGGAGCCACGAGTAGAAAGGGATCCAGCCTATTATGAAAAGGGTCCAGGATTCGAATAGAAGGGTGAGGGAGAGAATGGTGAAGTATATCAACCAGGGGTGGGTTTGAGCTGGATCATTTGTGCGCAGAGCTTTGTAGGAGAGGTACGCTGGGAGGAGGATCGTGGTGACGGAGCTGTATGAATAGAGCAAGAAGAGGATGTTAGTCGTGTGTTGTAAATGGTGTATGGCGGGGGTTCGCTGCTGTTGTACTCACGCTATGAGGTCTGCTATGACTCCAAACATGGTGCCTGGTAGTGATTGAGCGCCGCTGATGGGAAGGCCAATTGCTCAGATGGTCAAGGAAGGAATTAGATATCTTTGGGACACCCAGCAGGCAGCCAAGTCCGATACAGCATGTGGAGAAAGGTGGCCTCTTTCTTTTGTTCTCGAGGCAACAGATGTCCCGTCCGGCGGATGAGGCCAAAGGTCGGTGTGCCTGATGACGAACGAGCCAGAGAGGACCAGGCTGTGAGAAACTCCGCGGCTGAGCCCAGAGCCCAGCTCAAGCAGCTCAAGCGGGCCCGGCACTCAGCCTCGTCCCTATCGATAAGACGCGGGGTTACTGCACTACCGACTTGCCGAGTACTCAGCCGTAAGTTCTACGTCGGAGTGTACAGACGATATATGCAACTTTAACTTTCTTGAGGCATATAAAGTCCTCATCTTTTCCTTCGCTTTCGTGGGTAGATTCGACTCTAACACACGCAGACACTCCAGGATTCTACGTGACCTGGCAGCAAGTGACTTGTCGTACAGCGCACCCGCTGGTCTGGTTGCCTGCGGCGAAAAAAGAAAAGTCAGTTGACCACCCAGTGCGCTCTTCCTACTGGCTCCTGGTCCAACCCTTTTAACCTTCTCGCCTCGGTTCCCGACTCTCTCGTCAACTGATTGTATTTGTCGAACAGCCGTCCTTGTTGTTTGCTGCAGGTCCCCTTGAACCTACGTGGCATTGAGGCCTTTCCACACCAACCAGCAAAAAGCCGCCCCTTGCTCCCAAACGACGTCAACTTTTTTCGCCGTGCGTTACTCGTAGATCCCGGGGATGCGATAGTCAGTGGTGTGATGTCAATCGGAAAGATCCATCACCTCCTGGCCGTTTGAATATAAATTTACTGCTTTACGTCCATCCTACACCTTCCGCTCCCTTTCGCCGCCAAAAAGGCCATATTTTCCTCAGAACAACGCTCATCTTTATTCGAAATGTGCATCGCAATAATCTCCACCGCACACCCTTCCTATCGGCTAATTCTAATCGACAACCGCGACGAGTATCTGAATCGACCAACCGATGTTGCCGGATGGTGGCCAGATCCTCATTCCCACGTCCTGGGAGGCCGGGATATGCTCCGCGATATCCACGGGACATGGTTAGGGGTGACGAGGACCGGCAAGATTGCTGTCCTGACAAACTACAAGGAAGACACTACCCCGCCTCGAAGTGCCGTCAGCCGTGGCGCCATCATCAAAAAGTTTTTATCCGAAGAAGTCGGTCCTGTGGAGGAGTTTGTCAAAGACGTTGTCAATACTGGCATTGCTAAGGATGCCGGCGGATTCAGCCTTGTGTGTGGCCACATAGGCGAGAAGCTCGCCGTCATTTCCAACCGCGCCGAACACCAAAGTCAGGTTCCTTGGATAGCAGGGGAGGTTGTGCACACAGTTGGCCTCAGCAATGCCGATTTCGCCGACCGATCGTGGAAGAAGGTCACCTTGGGCGAAGAGCTCATGTTAAATACGATCCGTCACAGCGTCGAAAACGAAGAAACAGAAGACCAGCTGATTGAGAGGTTTCTCGATCTGCTAAGCCACGAAACCCTTCCTCGAAACGGCGAACCCGAAGGCGCCGGACTCGAGACGTTTATTCCTGCACTGAGAAACACGATCTACGTCCCGACCCTAGGACGAAAAGACATGGGTTATCTTGCCGATGACGAGAGGGCCGCTGCGAGGAGACACGAGAAAGTCGACATTGTAGGCCACAACACGCCCGTCCGACACCGCTCGCCGTCCATCAACCTTCCATTCCGGGCTCGGCAACTGGGCGTCAGTGGACTGTACGGGACGCAGAAGCAGACCGTCGTGCTTGCTGATCAAGACATGAACGTTCGCTTTTTCGAAAGGACACTATTTGACGAAGAGTCGAACCCGATTCCGCTTGGCGAAGGCGACGTTGATGTGACATTTAAGATCGAAAGGTAACGAAAAGCCGAGGTCCCTGATGAGAGACTATCGGGGCTAGATGTGGACTGTTTGTTTGGGCGTAGAGAACATGACGATGATATTTCGGGCTCCATTTCTAGAGTGCTTTGCAGAAGCAATGCGCGTTCATGTGAAGAGGCCATGCAGATTCCACCACTTTCCTAACTTAGCAGACGCCCAAGGAAGGTATACGGACAACTGTTCGGCGAGCACAACGACATGACAACAGTCGTGCCGGGCCCAACAGCAGACATCGATAAGAGTGAGTCATGAAAAAAGCGCGCTGGGCATCATTTGTCACCACTGCTCATGGACTAAATGTGGTGGGTACACCAGGCCCTTGGACACCCATAAGCGAGGAATAGAATCGTGAGGCTAATGAAGACGCCAGCCCGAGAGTGTACATATATTTACATATATCAGATTTGCCACAGTACAGGTCCCGAGATCATGAACTTGTTGATGCATTGTTCTCGAGTGTTTTGAGTTCCAACCACTTGACGAGTTTCCGCGTCCGAGGTCTCTGCACGGGCGCGTCGAAGAAGAAGCCGCGCTGGAAATCTTCCAGCCTCTCTGCAAGACGGCCCTCGTTCCAACATTGGGTCGGGTCCGTCGGGCCTCTGAGCCAGCTGCTAGCAAAGCCATAGCATTGCTCCGCGTACCACTCTGACACGTCGCTGGCCTCGGCTGCACATGAGAACCCAACGACCAGGATCCATAACCTGATGTCTTCGCCGCCGGCCCAGCCGCATTTTGGTATTTGCGACAGTATGGCCTTCAGCATTGGCGCCATCACCTTGACGGTTTTTGCGCGCCCCGTCACGTTCATCGCAAGTAGGGTCCACATGATGATTGCCGTCCTTAGAGCGTGAACTCTAGCATCTTGCGTTGTCAGTGCCAGCAGCCTGTTTCTGATTGCCATGTTGCGTGTGGTGATCCAGTGAGTGACTTGCATAGCTCGTGACGCCGACATTGAAGAGATGTGTAGGCGACTCTTGACGCTGTACGACTGGACCAACTGCTCGATCACTGCTCTCAGGCCTAATGGCACCGTGGCGGTGTCTCTGTCCAGCAGTGAAATTGCTGTGCCCTCGCTCCGTACAGAGGACAATTCGTGATTCTTCAAATCGAGAACGCTGGCTGGGCCTGGGTCGTAGTCACATTCAAACAGACAAGGTTTGAGCTTGACACAGGCGAGATAGAGATCAGCCATCGCGAGCTGGCCCCGCAAGTTCTCGTCCTGTATGGCCGTGAGCCCACCTTTCTGTTCGAGGAGGTCGACAGCAGCCTGCAGGTGTGTTTTTGCTGCTGACACATCGTCGCGGTAGCACTCGGCTGACGTCAAAAACATGATGCAAATCAGTAACTGCCTTAGCTGTTCGGACGTCTGGAAAGAGGTCACATCAATCCGAGAGCGCAATAATCGAAGCGCGTTGCGCATGTAGTAGCCCTCTTTCCCGATCACCTGTGAGCAGGGAAGGCGATCAATAAACTGGAGTCGAGACGCAGCGGCGCTGAGCAGGCAGTACATAGTGAGCCTGTCCTCGACAACTGTCCGCATGATGCAGTTGACGGCACTTTTGAACGTGTACAGCCCTTGGCGAAGGACCGTCATCTCATTAGGCCATATAGTGGGATGGTAAAAGTAGACATAGTAGTGCAGTAAGCCAGCTACGGCATTGTCGATTTTGACCGAGGCCGTCTCGAAGGGATCTGTCTTGTAGAGGATGGATTGACTGGTTGGAGAGGTGGCATGGCGTGGCTGATCTCTGTCCCTCTGAGCCTGCCTTTTGCGGTGTGTCTCGCGGGCGGCATGAGCCCTGCGTTCGGCCTCGTTCAGTTCGCGATCCTTTTGTGGGCGTTTCGGGTGGCAGTCAACGAACAAGACTCTAACCTTTGGCATGTTGTTGTGCTCAGAAACTGCGTAGGTGAAAACACGGTCTCTTCCAGCTCCCGCTTGTTCACCTTTGGGTATCCTCCAAGAGACGTATATACAAGGCCACCGTATGACTGCTTCGCAGGTTGGAATTGGGCTCGTAGTTGCTCATGCTGAATGTAGTCGTGACAAGAAGCATGTACGACTTCGCTGAACCGGGAAGGTCTCCCTTTTCTGCACAACCCTCCACTTATCGTGCCGACATTGCCACATCTGTTGTCCCAAGCTTTGACTTCCTGAGTCAGCGGACGTTGGTGAGTGATTGGCGACATGTAGGCAGGCCGGCTCGGGCCAAGCTGGCCAAGAGATGTGCCTCGTACAGGTGCCGTATCCCCAGCGAATGGCGGAGTTCTGCTCAAGTCCTCGAATCCGAGAATCCACTTACGTCGTGGGGTTTTCCGAGGAGATTCTCCAAAAGAGTTGTAGTTAGACTAATAACCGTGGGAAACCAAGAAGGGGGAAAAGTACCCAGCTGATCCTGTGCCCAAGGAAGTGAGCAAAAGCTACCCTCACAAATGTAACTCGGCCAGCCTTGTTTACACAATCTGTCCCCCTCCTGCTTTCAGTTTCCCATAGACCACTGCTTCACTTCTAAAATGGCCGTAGCTTCGTTCCGGATGAACTTGAGAGCTTTCAACAACAGAGTAGGCCCAACAGAGATGCGGCTAACGCCAGCCTGCTTCAGGACCTCGATAGTACAGCCTTGAGCAAGCACGGCCAATTTCCCGTCCAGCCTGCTCGCCATTTCTCTCACCTCTTGTTCTGTGATCACTTTCTTCCTCACACCCCAGACGAATACCGTCGTAGCACCTGCTTCTAGATATGCTCGACCTCGCTCCACGACATCGTCAACCGTCCCATCGAACCCCAAGACATCCGTGCGAGCGTTGACCACGAAATCGGGGACCCCTGCTTCCCTGGCTGCTCGAACGGCAGCCTCGATTCGACTCTTTGCTTCGTCGAGCGGTCTCAGTTTTGGTGGTTGGAAGCTGTTGTCGACATCCTCGATGTTGCAGCCTACCACTCCTATCTCGATAGCCTGCCTGACTGCTTCTGCAGGGTCGGCGTACCCGTCCTGCAAATCCGCCGTCAGTGGCAGTGTATCGATCTTGCCAGCATTGCGTAAGCCCGTAGCCACCCTGCGCACTCCAGCTAGATTGTCGCTGAGAGACATGGTGTTTTCATCCTCAACGCCAATACTGGCCGCAATCGCGAAAGAAGCAGTTGCCACAGCCTTGGTTGAGGGCAGAGAGGCTATCTCTGAGGCGGTACAGGCATCGTAGACGTTTGTCAGGATCAGAGGCTGGCCTGGGACATGAAGAGATTTGAGCTGTCGAGCGAGCTGGTTGAGCTCTTTAGGAGACGTTGCCATGGTAGTAGAGACGGTGAAGTGAGAGTGTTGTTCCCGTGCCGCAATCGCCAAAGCAAGGAGTACGGTCCACGGACTGAGGATGAGAAGAGGAAGTTAGGCTGGGTAGAATTGTGAGAGATGTGATTCTGCCATGTCACGACTCACTTCAGTGCTCACCCCGCCCTGGTTTGATGCCGCCCTGTCCGCCCTAAGCATTGGTTAGTTTACGCAGCCTAGGTCTGTGCCTCCGCAATCGTATTTCTTTCGCTAGAGCCTGCAGTGCATGGCTGTTGGCATCTCCACAGAAATTAGGCAGGAAGAGTCTCCGTGGCCCAGGCGATGAAAATCAAGCGGAGGAGTCGGCCGGTCGCACGCGAGATCTCGTATGACGAGCTCTTACAACTTGTCACAGCAACGTCCATCGGCCCACAAGCGAAGGGTGCAGGGACTCCTGAATGGAATTCCCCGCGTGTTCTTTGGCCTTACATAGAGCTAGTCAATATCCGAGTCCGTCGCACATCCAATGCGTGACCCAGAGATGGTTGCGCGTCCGACTCACGACTCCACATGCGACCACACAATGATGGGAAAGAAACCACAAGCCCTGACAAATATGGAGACACAACTGAGTACAGAACGAACGACATCCGAGAGACACTGAAAAAAAAAACCCCCGGTGTGGAAGTATTGATGCCCCTTTTTGCCCAATGTACTTTTCCCATCCATCCAGATTTTTTGATAACAGCGGCTGGAATATAGCAATGACAGCCGATGATGCAATGCAGCCCTGCTTGTCCCCCCCCTCACACATAATCCTCCCTACCACAATTCACAGACAGGCTCTTTATTCTCACAGTGGAAACTCTCCCTGAAGTCCCTGGAGTTGGCCATGGTTCCCAAAATCCTGGCAAACTTCGGTGCATGGGGATCCAGGTAGATCCGTTGAATGGCAGTTTCCTTCCTCGTCTTCCCGCACCACCAATTGGCGTAGTTGACGAAGAACAACTGTTCCTGTGTGAAGAATTCCAGACCCGGAAGGTCCTGGTTTGGCTTTTCCGCCGCCCGCTTCTTCCATGCTGCAAATGCTGCAGAGAGACCTCCTGCATCTGCGATATTTTCGCCCAGAGTCAGTCGGCCATTGACATGCAACGGTTTATCATCTGGCCCTGGTACAGTGAAGTTGGAGTACTGCTCGACGAAACACTCTGCGCGCTTTTTGAAATTCTGGATCGTCTTTTCGGTCCACCAGTCGGTGAAATTGCCGTTCTGGTCGTAATGGCGTCCGGTTGAGTCGAATGCGTGGGAGAGCTCGTGGCCCGAAACGGAGCCGAAGGCGCCGTAGCTGAGATACTGCGGGACATCGACGTCAAAGACGGGGAACTGCTGGATTTAGCTGCCGAATGCGAATCTCACTCCGTTAGCTCGACTGACCTGCATGATTCCTGCTGGGAAAACGATCTCGTTGCCGGGAGGATTGTAGTCTGCAGATCAGTATGGTCCCAAAAAAAAGGCAGAGGGAAAGGGCAAGCACATACATGCATTCACTGTGGGAACAGTCATATCCCTGAGACATTGTCAGCACTTTGCAACCAGGCATGAAGACAAGAAGCTGCGACGAACCATTGGTTCCTATCCACAGGTTTACCGAGGGCAGCCCACTCGCGAGCGAGCTCGTTACGGATGATTGACACTGCATTGCCAAAGTATGTCGAGGAAGTGATATTGACCGGATCGTAGTATTTCTTCAGGCTTACGGGATCCATAATATTGGGACTCTGCAGACGGAAACCTCAGTATGGTGCCAACCGTTGATCGCCCTCGGAACTTGACATACCTTATCTGGATATCCAATTTTTTGGACAATATTGTGGACCTTGGAGATGGCTAACTCAATCACTTCCTTCTCCATCCACTCAGTAACCTTGAGCTTTTCAATGAACTGGTCCTTGATATCGGAGACAATTTGGTCGCCAAATTGCTTTGCTTTTGCGGAGAACGCCTTCTCAACGAAGAAGCGGCTCAGAATCCAGCCGACCCCGAAGTCGACGTGGGAGACACACGTCCTCCATCGTTCCGGCTTTGTATCTGGATCCTAGATCACGTCAACACTAGAAGACGAGGATCGGAAGAAGCGGAGTACCTTGCCCGCCAACTCGTTCGAAAACCGCTTGAGGGGTTCAACTGCATCGGCTTCAATGAAACTGGCATATGACTGGATCGCCTTCCAGATGAAGTACGAGTGGAGGGTCTCTTTTGGAGTGTCAGTCAGCAGTTTACTAAGATCCTTCATATATTGTGGCGCCATGACGATGACTCGATCTAGGTTGTAGTCCTTGGGAACGAGACTGTCGAGGATTTGCGACAGCTTCAATTGTGGAGTTAGAGTGTCTGCATCGGCCAGTGACATGGGGTTGTAGTATTTCTATCCAATATGTCAGTGAGTCGGGATGAGAAAAGAAGCACTTCCGCTCACCGTAACGTCGTTGCGGTCTTCAGCATCTGGTGAGGCGTTCGCAAGCTTTCTCTCAAATTCTACCAAAGCATGAGCGTCCACCGCAGCCGTAGCAGCATTCTCGCGGAGAGCTGAGAGAACTTGCGAAGCCGTATCTCTATACTTCTTCACGAGATTTGCGTCTTCATACATCTCCTTCGCAGGTAAACCGATACTCCATGGAGCTGAAATAGAGACGGCCACGGTGTCCGGATCTTTGTCGTCGGCACCAGTGTCAGCGGATATCAAAGACGGCATCCCAGACTTGAGCATGAATGAGATCGTCGAAGAAAGGTCGCCAGACGAGAAATGAGTCGAAGTGTCGTTGAGTATCTCGACCAACGGGGCAACACCGAGTTTCTTGATGGTGTCCTCGTCCAAACAGGCGTCATAGGCAGCCTTGAGCTTGTCAAAATTCTGCTTGTCAACTGACCCAGTGGCACTATCTAGAACGGCAGGCGAGAAGTAGGAATGCTGCAGCACTTATAAGCATTCTTTCAAAATCATCAACTCGATACCATAGGCCTACCGCGGACGATCCCGGATACGGAGCTTCCAGAATGTGACGGAGCAACATCTGAGAATTCTCAGCCATGATGGTGCCAGTGAAGGCGTCGCCCTGGTCTGGGCGTAGATCGTGGCGGTCCCGCCATCCTCCGCAAACGAGTTCCTCAAAATCGGTGCACGGGTCGAGGGTCTTGTAGTCGGGCGACAAGTTATAAAGCAGCTCGGAAGAGGCATGAACACACGCAGGTGTGAGGCAGATATCAGCTCTGCTCTGTCCTAAGTCCTTCCCGTCCTCTTTGGCTTGTCAACGACCAAACGGATTGTCCATCAACTTCACGGAGAGACTCACCATTAAAACAGTCAGGATGGGGCCTGCGCCCAAACCAGAGAGTAGGCCTTCCATCATCCCTCACGGCATAGTAGCCAAAGACAAGTCCTATGAGGAAGAGGACCAAGAATAGCACAAAGGGAAGCCTGTGGGAGGGTTTCGAATAGCGACGAGCGTATCTGTCACGGGGAGCTGGTGCATTGCTTTCTTCATCTCGCAGTGGCGATGACTTCTCTCCAATGCTGTCGCCGCTACTCAACAATGAGTGACGGTCCATCGTGGCAAGGGAGTGATGCATAGGATGATGGGCGTGGAAGGAGGATGGTGAGATGAGGTGAAGTTGGAGGTAGCCTGTTTGGTGGTGGCGTGTTGGCGTCGTGGTTGCTGTCCAACGCGTGAGTTGGTTACAGGGTAGTGCGACTTTGATTGGGGGGCTGTGACGCCTGTGGCAGGCCGGCAGCCTAATGTTTGCGATTAGGCATCCCCCGCGCTCACCTTCGAGGTTCCCCGGGGCGGGGGCAGCTGCTGAGTTGGTAGGCGCAACATAGCTGCTTGACTAGCCAAGGTAACCTGCCCGAAGATACGAGGTAGTGGGCATCAGTTAATCCGGAAGTGCCGAGAAGGCCACGCCAGGGGCCAAACAGGGGCTCCTCAGGCTTCAGCTCCCAACTTGATAGGTACCTTGTACTCGGTATGGAGCATTTACTACAAAGACGTCAAGATCCCGTGCGTGGCACATTATCTGTATCGGATGTAGTTGCTGAACTTCTGATTATGGCAGATATTATTCGAGTGATTCTAGTCATTTTGTCCACGGTCGATTATAGGAATCTATTTCTTCGCAAAAGAAGCGTTTTTGGATCAAATTTGCTCGCTGGGAACATGTCTGTATTGGTCACGAATGTTATGAACGGGCTCGGCGTTGACGTGCACCAACCAGTCAAGAGAAATCGTTACGCATTCTTTGCTAAGGAGGGAGTATTCGACAGGAGACCAAGCTGACCAAGCTTGCCAGTTATAGCCGGTGTGTTGACATCGTAGAGGTACTCACCACAGTAAGCTCCTCCCATGTCGTCTGCACAACATTTTGGTTCTGCCACTCCCAACGCTCTGTCTACGATGCGTAGATGATGTCAAGCCTCAAAGGGGAGAGCCATTGGCAATTGAGTTGTTGCGCAAAGACCCTGAAACAAGAGGAGTGAAGTCCACATTCGCAGCGGACTCTTAATATCTCGGAGGATCGGACGATGGAGAGTCGGATGGTCGTGTTCCCACTCCTCATTGAGGTCGCTCCGTGTGCCGCTGGAGCGCAGTATGAATGCATATATAATAATAACAAGACAAGCTCGCCACGGGTAAGGTGGATAGATAGGCGCTCGTTAGAAAGGTCGAGACAATAGAAAACATCCCAAAGAAGCCGATCGCGCAAATTACCTAAACACCGAAATCTCGTAAAACAGACATTAATTTACGCTCTACTTACCATTACCATTCATCCTGGCTCGCGTCGTGATCAGAGACATGCCTTCGAATAGAGCCGCATATCTAACGTCCGCGAAATCAACTCCTCTCCAGGTCAAGTCCACCCCCTACACAAAGCCAGGCGCTCTGGAGATCGTGATCCAGAGTCACGCCGCGGCAATCAACCCGCTTGATCACATCAAGCAGAGCATGGGCGACCTGCTCTTCAACTGGGTAAAATACCCAGCTATCCTGGGAAGCGACGTGGTGGGCGAAGTGGTTGAGGTCGAAAAGGACGTCGCGTGGTTCAAGGCCGGAGATCGTGTCCGTCGGCCACGCCATTGGGCAGGCGAAGAAGCACAACTTTGCTTCACACTGCGGGTTCCAGAAATACACCGTCCTTCTGACGCACATGGTGTCACATATTCCAGACACAATCCCTGATGTGGATGCGGCCGTGACTCCGCTCAGGCTCTCCACTGCAGCGTGTGGGCTGTTCCAGACGGACCAGCTCGCCATCCAACTTCCCTCGGTGCCGGCCGCAAAACCCACGGGCAAGACTCTGCTTGTGTGGGGGGGGATCGACGAGCGTAGGTTGTAACGCGATCCAGCTCGCCATCGCGGCCGGATACGAGGTCATCACCACTGCCTCACCGCGGACCTTTGAGCTCGTCAAGCGTCTCGGTGCAATGAAAGTGTTCGACTACAGGAGCCCAACGGTGGCAGAGGACATCAAGAAGGCGTTCAAAGGGAGAATTGCAGCTGGGGCGCTGTCAATCGGCCAAGGCGCGGCGGAAAAATGCCTGGACATTCTCGCCACTTGCAAAGGGAACAAGTTCCTCTCCATGGCCAGCTACCCCTTTCCCCAGACGCCTCCTGAGCGCTTCATCGTGCCCCAGATCACCTTCCACTATATCACGTCACTGATATTTCTGTGGATCAAGGCCACAAGGCACGGCATCCGGAGCAAGTGCATCTTCGGCGATACGTTGGTTGACAATGAAATCGGGCCTGCAATGTACGAGTACTTTCTCCCCGAAGTTTTGGCCAAAGAGTCGTTTGTTGCAGCACCGAATTGTGATGTCGTAGGTCACGGGCTGGAGAGCATAGAGCATGCTATGGACCTACACAAGAAGGGTGCCAGTGCGGAGAAGATTGTGGTGACATTCTGAGTGATCTGAGTGTTGTCGAGTTTCACGCGTCTCTGATAATTTATACATGGCTTGCTACCACTGGTTCAGGGCTTGATTTGGGACCTCCTTTGGCGTGTAGACGTGGGACGGAGTGAGGACCAAGGCCATCAAAATTGTGAGTGGTAAAAAGATGGAAACTTAGCCGAGCCCCTATCCATCGCCGCCATCCTACTCCATACCACGTACCTTGCCCGTGCTTTGTAGACTCAAGCAACACCCACCACGAGTCTCAACAACACCTATCGATGCCGATCAGACAGACTTCGACCCCCCTGCCAAAGCACTGGCCCAAAGACATCATCTATATCGACACACTCCACATCCCATCTCCTCTCTCCCGAGAACTCCTTCACTCAACCGCACCCTTCCCTCCTTCCGTTTCACTCCCCATTATTCCTCTCCCTTCACCCCCATCTCCATCTCATCTCGTACAAATAAAACCCATCAACGACCCGACTCACCCAGCATACACCCAACACGGTCTCTTTGCCGCGCGTGCTCTAGCCCCGTCTTCATTTATAATCCTCTACCTTGGCACGCTTCACTCGTCCACCACCACGGACCCAACGTCAAACTACGACCTCAGTCTCGACCGGGAGCTTGACCTGTCGATCGACGCCTCGAAACGCGGCAATGAAGCGCGCTTCATCAACGACTACCGCGGCATTCGCCCCGAGGGTCCCAACGCCGAGTTCAAGGACTGTTTACTCGAGGTCACCAAGGGGAAGAAGTGGGAGAGGAGGATCGGTGTGTTCGTGCTGAGTCAGGGGAGGGCCAAGAAGGATGGAGCGAAGAGGGCGAGAGGGATCGCAAAGGGGGAGGAGATTGTGGTTAGCTACGGGAAGGGCTTTTGGAGGGCGAGGCTTGCTGAGGAAACGAGTCAATCGACATCGAACGACGATGTGACGGAGGATGAGCATGGCTGAGAGTCGCCGGAAAGCAGCAAGAACTGTCCCTTGGGACCACGGGCGAGTCTCTGTGATGGCATAGTGCTTGGAAGATTCGCCCTCTGCATCACTTATGTCACTCGACGATTTTCGACTGCCAGAGACGCTCCTTCTCAAACCTGCGCCGAGTCATTCGCCAATCGAAACTGGTTGCTGAGAGTTGCTGCGACTTCACGTCCGTCAATTTCCGACGGTCCTCATCGATGACTTTGTCAATGGAGTCACTATGCGCTAGGTATGTCCTCGAATCCTCGCGCCTGTCTAACATTTGACTCTCTTCTCGGGGCCGGCCACATGACACCCCAAACGGCTGATTTTTATTTCTACTCGCATGAGACTATCGGAACTCCTTCCGTCGTCTCACTCTCACTTTGGCTCCCATCGGCGGGACATGGTTCGGTCCCGCCCAATAACACTCAGGCCTAACGCCCTTACCATTCCAATTCCCTCCAATCCCACCTTCCATGGCCATCTGTATCTCATACCGTGAGAGCAAGTACGCGAGTAACAGCTTCAGCTCCTGCGCAGCGAAGAATCTTCCGGGACACGCGTGCCGACCGTGTCCGAACCCGAGGTACGAGGGCGAGGTGGCGATGAAGGAGAGGTGTGCTTTATCTAGGTACTCCTTCTCTCGATCTGCCTTGTCTCTATCGCCATCACTGGCACCAGTGGAGATTTTATCTTTCAACTCCACAAACCGAAAGGGCTTGTATTTACCTGCCCCGGCATAAAGTTTTTCGTCATTATGGCATCCCCAACTGTGTGTGGCCACCATACATCCCTCAGGCAGATGTGTACCATCGGGTGTCGTGATACCTCCGGGGGCAACGACCTTCATGTTCACACCTACGCCGATGATGCTCGCGCGACGCGAACTTTCCCGTAGCGCCGAGTCGAGGTAGTGCATTTTGGCGATGCCCGTGCGCGACCACATCCTTGCCGCCGGTCCAGATGCTGCATCTTGCTCCATGGTGTCCAGAGCCTCCTTCCGCAGCGTTTCCAGCACGCGTTCATTTAGTGGTGCGGCAAGGATGTCCAGTAAGGCGTTGGTCCCAATGAAACTGGTAGTATGAACGGATGCGAAGTTCACATGCAGAAGGCGCGCACATATAATCCGCGGATCCGTTTCGTCCGGCGAAAGATACGATTTGGTGAGCGAGCGGGTTAAGAGCCATTGGAGGAAGTCGTTCTTCACTGTGTCCCCGTTCTGCTCCGTTTCGTGATCTTTGTGCACGGACTTGGCATCGCTCGCAGTTTCTTGCTGGAGGCGCTGACGCCGGAGAATCTCAGGTGTGAGGATTTCGGTGTACTCACGAGTATGTTTACGATTGGGAGACGTCACTATCGGCGCGACAAGAGAGCGAATGAAGCCAGGGAGAAGACGTAATATTGTTGCGGAGAAGGCGATGTCTTCTGCAAAACCAATTGCGTTCTTGAGGTATCGCTCGTCACGGCCTGAGATACATTGCAGATTAGCATTTTGGATCCCGAGCACCGCCAATTTGGAGGCTATTTCCTCTGAGGAGAGGCGATGTGGCACAATTCACGGAGCCTCCACCTAGGGCTATCTCCCATACCAGAGCCCATACGGCACACTGCCTCCTCGTTACCTAGCTCCAGAATCACCCATTCGAGGAGATGTAGCGGATGTACTCACAGAGCGGTAGGCCCACAAAGACCCTGTTAGAGATCCTAGCTATAATCTTGGTGAGACTGTCAAAGAGTACCACGGTCTTCCAACCTTCAGCATCGGAGTAGAATTCGAAATCGGGATCGGCTTCGCTACCCCAGATGTGATCCACAGCGGCCGCCAACTCATCACACACTTCGGGCGTCACGTTGAAGACTTGCCGGGTCAACTCCGACTTGATGACGTCTGGCATGTGACAAGAGACTTGTCAGGAATGTTCAAGAGATGTCTTTATTCTAGATCAAAGAACCGGAAGAGCAGAAGGGGAGAGAGAAGACGACGCACCGAAATGGACAGTCGGATCCATAATCTCGGGTTTCGGGAAGGTATATCGGGTCTGCAAGATATGTTTGTGCGCGCCATTGACGCTGAGGACATTGTCGGGCTGGGCGATCAGCCAGGGTGTGTTTGAAGGCGGAAGGAGAACGACCTCTCCGTCGAGGGTGGCAAGGATGCACGCCTTGTTGTGGCGAGCGAACTGTTCGGAGAGCGTGGTTAGGTTTGTGACTGGGGTGGTAAATATATGGGCCTAGGAGGGCTGAAGAGGGTGGGATAGGCCTGAAAAGGGGAAATTAAAGGGGGACGGGTATCAAAACCAAGGAAATAATATGAAATAATGTCGTGATTTCCTATCTTCTCTTCTGTCCTTGTCTCTACTTTCGCTCGTATATCGTCCGAGAATAACATTCCCTCCAAAACAAACGAAGGAAAGCAAACGGGAGAAAGGCATTAAAGCCTTAACAAGAGGGGTGGAGGGAAACATACATACCTGATCATACGCCCTCCTGAGGGCCTCCTCATAGTTAAGCAAACACCACAGCCTGGTCCGCAGGTCGCGCAGGACCCACGCCTTCTCGTTACGCGCGACCCACGGCAGATCCGGCGGCAGGGGTCCTAACCGACTGTTCCGCCGTAGCAGCAGGAGGAGGAGGCGCAAGATGAGAATGAAAGCCACGCACGCGAGAACCACGATGGCCAGCGGACTCAGCGTGCTGCTTGAAATGGATTTGAATTTGGCTAGGGAATTGGAGAGGCTGGCGGCAAGGGACGAAGAGGAGGAGGTGAGGGTGGACGAAGAGGAAGTGGAAGAGGAAGACATGTCTGTGGTTCACTCCCCGACTATATCTGATCAATGAGAATGAGTGGGAATTCAATGGGCAGAGGTGCCGGAGGGAGAGAGGAAAGGAGAGAACGAGAGAGATGAATATGAGAGAAAGAGAGAGAGAGAGAGAGGTTCTGTCCTTGTCTATCTCTGGTTGCTGTCTCTTCCCCACGTGCCCACACTGAAATGTAATCCACAATCCACAGCTGGTGACATCAAAATCTCGTTGGTGCGACCCAATAAGAAACCGCCACACACCAGAGACGCACTCGACCAAGCCGTGGGCCAGACAGAGCAGAGCAGTAAGCGATCTTACCATGCATCTCTTTGCTGTCGGCAGTTTAGCTAGTGGCCTGAGTCTGATACAGTCTCAACGCACACGATGCAAGCGACTGACCAAGCCCTAAGTGGTTGGCATTCCCTGGCTTCCACCACGGATCGCGATATCATTATCTAGACATGTAAGTGCCTCGTCCATCGGTTACCAGAATGCACATCTAGATCAAGTATACAAGGGCGAGGATCCCCGTCACCCAACAGTATCTTTGTCTCAGTGGTGAGAAAACTTGACCCGTCCACCTGGATCGATTGCGCCGCCTCGTTCCATACATCCCAGCATCGAGGCTGGAGCACATGGTCCCACCATAAGAAATGTGACATCAGCGTCTGGAACAGAATCCAGTCCAATAGTCGGCGGTCCTCTCGCAAGCTTCGTCCCAGCTGCTCGACGTACCATTCCCGATGGACTGTCTCCGAGGAGGCCATAGTGCCCATTGTCAGGCACCAGATTGTGAGCTCGCATTCCGCCTGAGCTTTCAGCATTCCTCCAGTGAAGAGCAGTTCCAGTGCTTTTCGCAGGTCGTACGCAAGTTGCGACTTGACGCTCACGGATTCGCCGAGCGGGAAAAGAACCAAGTCGCTGTAAATCAGTGCAGCAAGGCGGACCATATTGTAGAGAGAGTCGTCGTGTAAGGGCAGCAGATCAGGCGGCGGGTCGAGCGAGCACAGCTGGTGTTGCACAGCATTCCTGACCGTACATATATCCCGGATCGTGGGTGCAGTGGGGACCCTCCGCTGATACAGATCGATGGCCAGCGTGGCTCTGCAGGCCAACATTAGAAGTCGTAAAAGTTGAGCATTTTTCACACAACAGAAGCCTCGGCCCATCACCAGAGACAGTTGAAAGGCATGAGGATCGAGTACAAGGTCGTTGAATGCTTCGAAGGCGTAGTGCAGGTTTTTGGGCCACGGCCAGAGAGGGCGGACGCCGAGTCGAGACGAGACAAACGTGTCGGCACTTGAGGGCGTCGGTTAGTACGACAGAATTACTGCATGCTGATAGGGGCGAGGGTGGAACCTACAAACTGAACACATGCAAGTGATCAGGGGTCGAGAGTCCATCCAGACCACCCAAAGGCTCGAGGACACGGTATAATCGCTGGATCTGTTGGATTCGGCCGGGCGTCAGTTCCATGTTATTAAAAAGGTGTAAATTTTGGGCTGTGGCCATCGGCGAAAGAGGATACTTTGATGGGGCCTCCTCGTGGACCCCAGCGGGCCATGTCACCAAAAGCAGGGCCAGAACTATAGTCTCCCAGGGCGGCGACGGATTCTTCTGTAGAATGCCTCCAACGGCCTCTAGAGCTTTCCGCTCATGGTACGATATTGCTTGCGTTACCAGTGACCGAGACTGGTGACCTGCCGGGAGTAGCCGCAGTTTGTGTCCCGCGGCATTGGCAATCTGTGCATGAAGAATGAAGGGATTCTCCCGAGCGCTTCTCCGTCTCATGGCCGCAAATCGTTGAGCGGTCTGCGGGTCCTGATTCAACACGGCAGGCCAGACGAAGCGGTAGGCTGTAAGATCGGGACAGAATCAGCAATGGCGACAGATCTATAGAATCCAACCCGCAATCGACCGCAAAAGAGGCCAGACACGGCATAGCTTCGCATTGAGCAAATGTCAATCGAGTGCCGGGAGGTTACGACTCACAATGGTCCAGAATATCGTAGATGAAAGGAGGTAAGCCACCAATTGAGGCAGTGTCGAAGGGGTCGTGATTACCCTGCCCTAGGGGAATTGTGGAGGTCAAGGACTTTGACGAGAAAGACGGCGGTAGGACAGTGTGTTGAGGTTCCGGAGTCTTGGGCCGTACGGCCAGATTCTGTGTGGCAACTGGGGGCGCCAGACCATCGTCATCTTGTTGAACTGCATCAACTCGGCGACGGCTAGGTTTCTTCGAGGAGCGGCTTCTCGAGGAGGGAGCGCCGTCGCCTGTCTGTGGGACGGGGCGCTTGAGTCTAGAGTTCCGAGCTGCGTGAGCTCGACGATCGGCGTCTTGGAGCTCTTTCTCCCTCTGCGAGCGGGGTTTGGAAGATAGAGATTGATTGAGGAACAGAAACTCTCTCTCAGGGTCGGAAGCCATGCGGATAGATCTTGTGTGAGAAGTCCGTCATGACGACGGGAGTTATTTGAATCGTCCACAACACTGCCATTCACCACGAAAGGGAGGCAGAAATGTGGGATCTGAGGAGCACATGACCCTGGCTCTAAGCGATGAGGCTATTTTGAAAATGGAGTCTGCAGAAGGCCAAAGGTAAAATGGATGAGCAGAGCGAAAGCTTTGCTAGCGAGGTGCAATTCTGCCGGGGGTCGGAGCAAATGCTGAAAATTGCCTTTGCGGCAGCTTGGATAATCAATCGGCCAGGGCCACCAGGGCCACCATGGCTTAGACTTCTACTTCTCGCCCTTTGGTTGCTAGGACCTTCCCAGTCGCCATAGGGTAAGTAAGAAATGAGTCAGCGACGGCCGTTTCCCTTTCATTGGAGCGACGGCAACCGAGCTGTTGTTTCCGTTGGGTAATCTCAGATCATTACTGATCCGTACTCCACCGCCCCTCAGCAGTCCCTATAGAGGGTAGAGGTTCCGTATCATGTCCAAGTGAAAAGTTCGTACGCTGTCTCATCAAAGAGCGAACTCTGCAGTGGCGAGCCAATTGGACGATGAATATAAAGTTGCGGAGTCGAGGCTGTCAAACTGCCATAGGACAAAAATACCCTGTACATGTGGAGTGTGCGTATACACCCAGTGTGCGAAAAGACACGTAATCACCCGTTCGGATCGCTTGCTCCCCAGCTCGCTCTTGAGCTTGGCACCCGCCCCTCGTGAAGCCCAAGGAAGATGATGCAGTCGCTGTAAACGAGGGGAGGCGGTGACGATGAAAAGATGGGACAATGCGGTCGGGCTGCAGAAGAGCGAAAATACTCGAAATAGTAATGGGCCCCTTCTTTTTTCCCTCGAGGTGGACAGCCAACCTTTAAGCAAGGGTCTCTGGCATCCTGCTGTGCGAAGGGAACAAATTGGTGTTCTTGAGTTGCGCCTCACGCAACTCGGAATCGTCCCATATACAAGTCTGGCAGCCACCACACGCCACATCCTTGAATACGCAGAACCGAGATACGTGTCCAACCCGGTCGAGCGTATCGTGCGAGTGTCCCTTTGCCTCGCAAATCCTTGCCATATTACTTGGTGCGTCTGCGATTCAGATCCTGAATTGGCCATATTTAGATCCGCCTAATGGACGATGCTTGGGGCCTTTATTGTTCCATATGTTTAGGACTCTTGCACCATACCGATCTCTGGTGCGCATTGTTGGCGCACGAAGCCTCCAGGAAGAATATCAATCCCTGGCATTGTCCTTTCGATTCGTGATCTCCTCGGCTACAGGTGAAGCCCGGTCGTCCCCTCAAAATTTGGCGTGATCCCGACATCCTTGCAGTTATCTTGATATTAAAGTTCGAGGCCGGTCGGTTTGACCGAGATCTCGGGTGCGAAACTGATCAGCTGCTAGTTCCACCCAAGCAAATTGGAACAACGGCGTCGCACCCGACATGTGGACGGACATGCACGCAGACGAAGTGCACGTCAGGATTCGTGAGTCCCGAGAATGGTCCAACATTTCTTTGGACCGGCTTCAGGATCCTCAGGTTCTGCGTCGCTTATACCCTTTCATGATTGGGAATTCAACGCAACCATCTCACTAACGACTCCATAAGGAGTCTTCTGTCCACAGGTTTGGCAATATAGTCGTTCATGCCTTCAGCGAGGTACGCTTCTTCGTCTCCTTTCAACGCATTCGCAGTCATCGCGATAATGGGGACCACATGGCCAGCTTCTCGAATCCTCCTTGTGGCGGTTAGACCGTCCATCACGGGCATGGAAATGTCCATCAAAACCAGGCTGTAAGCTAGAGGCTTTTGGGTTACCATCCTCACCCCCTCCGCACCGTCAGCAGCCACATCCACTTTCTCAAAGCCAAAGCTGCGCAATAGACGAACCATGATGGTTTGATTTATGGCGTTATCTTCGACGAGAAGTATGTGCTTTGTTTGTGCCAACTTCTTCAGATCCGCATCCGGCACTGCTTTGGCGAGTGGTTTAACTGGTGAGACTTCTAGTTTGTTGACCTTGGATGTGAAATAGAATATGCTTCCCTGTTGCTCTGGATTCCGCATATAACCGACTACGCCACCCATCAGTTCGGCCAGACTTTTGCAGATGGAAAGACCAAGTCCTGTGCCCTTGTATCTCTTGGTCGAAGAGGTGTCCAGTTGGGCGAAGGGGGTGAATAAAACGTTCTCCGCCTCAGGGGTTACCCCAATACCCGAATCGATCACTTCTGTTTTTATGTCATAGGATGCTTCGTCCTCATGGGTGAGGGCGACTTTGACGCGCACGTACCCTCTATCGGTGAACTTAATTGCATTTGACACCAGGTTTTGCAAGATCTGACGATACCGAAGAGGATCTCCCTGGGCGAAGGTCGGGAGGTGAGGATCGAGGTCGATTTCAAATCTCAAATTCTCTGAAGACCCGATGTTGAAACACCGTCGTACTGCGGCTACAATTTCCGCGATGTTCATGACCTCTTTGTTGAGTGAGAATGAACCAGAGCTGAGCTTGGAGTAGTCGAGGATGTCATTGATGACCTGCAGCAGGA